CATGCGGCTCTTTGGCCCCTTGAGTGTGGCTCTTCCTAAGCCTTAGGAGGACCCTAATTAAGTTAATAACAATGTACCTACCTATATAGTTTCAGTTTAAAAAATTTGGCTCTCAAAAGAAATTTCAGTCGTTGTACTGTTGATATTTGGCTCTGTTGGCTAATGAGTTTGCCGACCACTGTTCTAGCCTATGTCAAACCGATGCTTTAGAAAGACGAAGTGAGCAGGACAGCATGCTCATGGGTTTATTTTAAATTTATACATGTGCATGTCTGGAGCAATGGACTGAAAGGAAATCTCACAACACGTTAACTGCATAATGGGACTAGACACGATTTCCCCCTTCTCTTTATTTTACTCTACTTCCTATATCAGACATGCATCACTTGTAACATTTTTAAATGTGTTATAAAAAATGGCTAAGGAAAAAAAAAAAAAAAAATGGCTAAGGACCACAAAACCTCCGGCCCGCAACCGTGTTTAGATTACTCGGGAAAGTGCAACTAAACAAAAAACAGAGCCTGGACTTATTCACGTTGTTCATGAGTCGTTCACAAGTCTCTTGTTGGGCGATTCATGCTCCTCCACCAACCAAATAGCGTATGTATCTGAAACTCAGTCCCTTGGCTGTAAAGGGGGCTGCCACCCCTGCCGCCTGCCTCACAGGGTGCCTGTGTAAACACAGCCCATCACACGAAGAAGGATGTCACTTCCTGGGGGATGTGGGCTGGAGCCCTGGCGCCAGGACCCCAGAAAGCACGTCCTTCGGGCGGTCTGTGGGAGCCACTTACGAGCATCTCAGCTACTGATACCTACACATCCATCGAGCTGCTGAGAGAGCTTCCTGCTGGGGAGGAACATTGTCTCAGGGTCACAGGGGGGAGTGCACCAGTGACTGAAATATTTACAGTTTTTGTTTGATTTCTTGGTTATGATAAGCACATCATTGTATAATTCAAAATAACCTGTTTCATTGGTATTCTTGCTTTGAACTAGGGATCTCCACTTTTTTAGAATGCACCCTAAATAAGTAATCAGAGATGGGGACAAGGATGTTCACCACTTGTTAATGGTAAAAGTAAAAAATTACAAAAATGTTAAATGTACATGTGGAAACTAAAAATTGTGGCCAATCCACAATATAAAAAAATTACATGTTGACACAGAGGGTTTTTATTTTTAAGAGATTGAAGAAGTACTGAAATGAAATAAAATGTTATTTAAAAATGTTAAAAGCTGATCATAAAATATCAAACACAAGATGATTTCAATCTGTAACACTAATAGGATCCATAGGAAAGACAAGAAAATCGGCCCAAATGTGAATACTCAGCTAGCTAGACATAAATTATGGGTAATATATCTTCATTATATTTTTTCCACTTTTTCCAAATTTCCCTCAATGGGTACACATGGCTTTTGTAATTAGAGAAATAATACTCGAAAAAGGGAAGGACACATGGCCAGTGGAGACCTATTCCCAGGGCTCCCCCGACACAGGCTTGCGGGGGGGGGGCCTTTTCTGGAATTACCTGGTCAGCCTGCTCGGTAAACGAGTCTGTCATTCTAACGATGACACTCGCGCTGGCCTCTTCATTCTCCACCACGTCGATGCTGGCCACCCACTGGAGTGAAGAAGGAAACAGCTTTGGTCAGAGACAATAGTTGCGATTCCTTTAAAGATCCATGCCCAGAAATGGGGGCTGTGGGGGCAGGTGACAGGCTTAGAGGAAAACCCACTAGAGAAAGGATCCAGCTACTGACCTCTCGCACATACGGGGACGTCTGACCTAAGCCAGTCTACCCCAGCCCAGCTCAGCCCAGCCCATTCCGCCTCCGAACTCCTCATCTTCCTCTACTTCCACTCTCAACTCTGAAAGCCAAACCCTGAACTTCCAGAGAACCCCCCGCCCAACCAGGGTCCGCAAACTTTTTCTGTAAAGGGTCAGAGAGGAAATATTTTCGGCTTTAATGGCCCTATGGTCTCCGTTGCAACTGCTCAACTCCTCTGTTATAACGAGAAAACAGCCACAGGCCACAGGCGAACGAATGAGCGTGCCTGTGTTCCAATAAAACTTCAAGTGCCAAAGTATGAATTTCATATAATTTTCACACGTCACAGGATATTCCTCTTTTAACCTCTTTTCAACCATTGAACAATGTGAAACCAGTCTTAGCTCTTGGGCGGTACAAAAACAGACAGCAGGCTGGATCTGGCCCGTGCAGGGCGAGAGTTTTGGACCCCTGCCCCCAGCACAGAGGGAGGGAGATCAGGCAGACCAGGTTTGAATCCTGCCTCTGTCATACAGTGGCTTTCTCCAGCTCATGCTCTGCAGAGGGTCCTCGCCTGCACAGTGGGGTTAGCAATAAACTTGGTTAGTGTGAGAATTAAATGAAACAGAGAAGGCTGCAGCTGCCAGCCCAGGTACACATGGCTCTTACTCGGAGAGGGCCAGGGCCCTGAGGCCTGAAGGCCCGGAGATAAAGATCTCTATCAAGCTTTGGAGAACACAGCTTCCATTCAAGAACACTCACCACTTCTGTCACCAGCATGGGAGAGACTGACACAAAGACAAGGTTCCATCCCAGAGCTCCCAGGAATGAAGGGAGTGGGGACAAAGGTAAATCAGTTCACAAATCAAAGGTAAAGCAGTGCCTCCATCAGGGGGAAGTGCCCCCCCACCCCGAAGGGGAAAGCACAGTCCTCGCATCTGTAACCCGTGGATACCAACAGGACTACGTAGTAAAATTACTGCACAGAATAAAAGAAACGAAGAGGACGTAAGGGATCTGGTATATAGGAACACAGTGCCTGGCCTGGCTGGAATCCTTAAACCTTACAATGGTCACCACCTCCCATCTATGCAGACTTCCTAGCTTCCAGAGCAGGTGTGCGGCAGGAAGGGGTGGTGTGTTTAGAATTCCTTAGAAGCATATTCCTATACCAGAGTCTGAGCCAGAAGAAAACCCTGGGACCCTCTCTCTCTGGCCCCAGGGCACCCTCACCCAGCAGCTGCTGCGGCTGTGCTAACTGATCCCTCAGGACAACTCCCCAGAGCTCCAGCATGGACTTTGAGCGAGTGACAGCTGCAGCAGGAAGACACAGGGCAGTCTCCACTGGGAACGCACTGATCCCCGCTGCGAGGCTGGGGTCAGGGTTCCTGGCCTGCGACCAGCTCTGTTCCTACATGGCCACCTTCAGGGAGTAAACCTGATTTGCAAAGTAACTGAAATCGGCTACTCATCAAAGAAGCTTCCTGTGTTTGAAGGGCTGAGCCTTCGCAGTACCAGGTCCAATGGAGCTAAAAGAGCAGGAGTCTAGATCAGTATCTCAATAACAGAGGGGAGAGGAACTGCTCTCCCCTTCTAGATTCTTCCAGCTGGCCTAATAATGAAATCAACATGAGATAATAACAAGGGAAAATAACTAAATTTAATTGCATATGTACATATGGGAACCCCACACAGATAAGGGCAGAAACAGAAAGTTAAAATGAAGTATAAGTTACATTCTGAGCTAAGGATGAGGCTACGGTACCTTGGGGACTCAGAGCGGCGAAAGGTCATTCAAAGGACATAAGAAAAGCAGATGTTCAGTAATCAGAAGTTTGCACTGCCCTATACATTGGTCCTAAAAAATATTTTTCTGGTGATGACTCTTATTACGAGCAAGGCCCCTAATTTAAAATTTTTAAGGGAGAGGTAAAAGTTTCTCTTGAACCCACAGGGTCTCTAGCCTTCGGTTCAAAATAATTCACGTGCCAAAGTGACATATCTTGGGGAAGCCTCTCGTGAACCCCTTCAATATACAAAATAAATATACCAATAATAGCTAACATTTAAACATCTTTTACCAGGAGTCAGGTAAATTTACACGCTAGGGCACCAATGACCTCATTTCATCCTCACAACTCCCCTAAGGGGCAAATACTATCATTATCCCCATATTACAGACGAGGAAACGGGTTCGTGGAAGTTAAGTTCACGGTAGCAGGACTAGTAACCAGGATCAGGCGGCAGAGTTTCCCAATCCTTCCTTCTTCTCTCTCCCTGGCCCCTCACCTGCGCTCCTCTTCCTCCGGCTCTGCAATTCTCCCCTGAGTCATGCCGGGCTTCCCGGGACCGGCGGCGGCGGAGACCCAGGGGCAGCCGCCCCCACCCGCTTGGCGCAAAGGCCGAACCCACGGCCGGGGTGGGCGCACACGCGGAGGCCGGAGCAGACGTGCAGACTTGTGTATGCACTTCCAAGCACCCGTGTGGGGGCGGGGGGGCACATGGACCCCCAGCTTCCTCCAGACCGGCCTCCCAGGATGCACCGGAAGGCCCCCGGCACCCCAATCACCATCGCCCCCGACCGCCACCCAGGCCGCCCCTCCAAGGCACAGCCCGGGCGCCCCGCCCGCGGACTCACCCAGTTGCGGGCCCGGAACGCCTGCACGCAGCGGGAGCCCAGCGCGCCCCGGCCGCCGTACACCAGCACCCGGCGCGCCTCGCCCGCCGCCGCCGCCATCCTGCGCCTCCCGCGGGTCCCGCTGCTCCGATCGCCCGAGCCCGCACGCCACGCCCCTGCGCGCCCCGCCACGCCCCGCCCCGCCCCGCCCCGGCCGGCCAACCAGCCGAGAGGAACCGCGCCCGCGCGCCCCGCCCCGCCCCGCCCCGCCCCGCCCCGGCCGGCCAACCAGCCGAGAGGAACCGCGCGCACACCGCGCCCGCGCGCCCCGCCCCGCCCCGCCCCGGCCGGCCAACCAGCCGAGAGGAACCGCGCGCACACCGCGCCCGCGCGCCCCGCCCCGCCCCGCTCCTCCCCGGCCGCCCAACCAGCCGAGGGGAGTCGCGCGCGGCCGCGACCCGCGTGGCGCCCGCTGCTGCCGCCTAGCGCGCGTCCTGGCTCCGGGAGGAAGGCGACCCAGAGGGGCGGGCGCTCTCGGCCGCGCCCCCAACCCGGCGGGCCCGCCCCGGACCGGTGCGTCCGCTGAGCCCTGCAGCCTGCGGGTAGGTGCGGGGTTCTGGCGTGCAGGGCGCGGGGCTAAGGCCGGAGCGGTGGAGAGCAGGAGGGCGAGAGTGGGATGGCCCCGGCCGTCATCTCAGGATCAGAGAACGGGAGTCAACTGGCGAGAGAAGGCAAACCACGGGTGAGAACATATGTAATACCTTCATCAATAAAGAAAGAAGAAAAAAAAAGTACGAATTGACAATTACAAAATAGTCCTGAGGATCTAAATAAAGTACATCATAGGAAATATAGTCAATAGTATTGTAACAGCTATGTTGTACACCTGAAACTAATAGAATATTGTATGTCAACTGTAATTAAAATATTAAAAATTGAGTTAAAAACTAAAAAAAAAAAAAGACAAACCACGAGTAATACAGTTTTCCTCTCAGAAGGAGTGAAGGCTACTGCCTGGCCACCCTGCTTAACAGCCTCAGTCTCCTCGCCAGTTAAAGGGGAATATAATGGCCTAGCTGCCTTTGGTTTCGGAAAGGGTTTTAAAAGCTGGTACTACAGCTGTGTGGCTCTAAATAGTAGCAGGAGTTCAATAAATGCCGATTGAGCATTAGTAATATTGACATTTTTGCCACCACTTATGTTACAATTCATTGGGCCTCTTCGAGATTGTGAGTTCCAGGCTTCTTGCATTTTGGGAGTAAGGGGGCTATTTTAATATCAATTTGGGGGGCATGTTTAAGCATTAAAATTTACCAAACCAATGATACAGAAATTGTAGCATACTGTAGTTTAAGTGTTTGTATCTCCCAAATTAATAAAAATAAATACTGCTTGCTTAAAAATATGAGTACGTAACAGGCCTCTGGTCTGATAGGAACACAAGGCCAGTGGTGTCAAGTCCTATAATATTATCCTTAGACCTCTGTGACTGTGTGTAAGCCCCACCAAATGGTACCACCTGCCTCACCAACAGGCATTTTCTCTCTTGCAAATAGTTCACTCTGTGCCCCTCATACAGGGTTTCTCAATCACAGCACTGTCGGTTCTGTGCAGGCCATGGGTTGGGGTGGGCGGTGGGCGATCTGTCCTGTGCCTTCTAGGATGCTTACCGCATCTCTGGTCTCTACCTCCAAGAGGCCAGGAGCAGCGCCCCACACCCTGGTCATCACAATCAAAAATATCACCAGGTATTTCCAAATGTACCCTGGGAGGTGGGGGAGGCAAAATCACCCTTGGTCGAGAACCGCTGTCCTAACTCTGTTGTAAGCTTGCCAGCAGGATCCCATATCACACACCTTTGTGTCACCCTCCACACAAACACAGGGCCCTGTACCCAGCACACACGCACCTTTATGCAATAAACTTGTGCCAGATACGGCATGCAGGAATACGTCATGAGGGAACAGGCTGCATCCTGTAACTCGTTTTATTATCAGAAGCTTCATTACCGGCAATAGAATTACTGGGAGACTGGCTGGGGCGGACACCAGTTATTTAGGGCCCTCTATATGCCACGCACGTGCTGAGTGATCTGCGTGGGCCATTTCATGTGACCTCGCACCGCAGTCCTATGACAGGTTAGGAAACGGAGTCATGAGAGTCCCGGACACTTGCCCAGAAGAGTAGGAATTTGAACCCAGGCCTTTAATGGTTCTGCTCAACCACATCTCCAATGTCATGCCAAGGGCTTGTTGGGAGTCAGTTGTTTCACAGAGAGTTTTTCTAAACAGAACGGCTTCACCTCTGAAACATCAAAAGTTGACAGAGGCACATCATTTGGGGCCAGAATGTGATGCAAAAGCATTGCGCATGTCCTGCCTCTCAGAGCACGCTTCATGTTAAAACAGAATGTCATTATTGGCAAAGTATCCATGTGTCAAGAACTCTTTTTTTTCTTACTTTATTTTAAGTTTTATTTCCCAATTACAGTTCCCTTTCAATATTATTTTGTATTAGTTTCAGGTGTACAGCATAGTTTACAAAATGTCCCTCCCAATATTTCCAGTACCCACCTGACACCATACATGGTTGTTACAATATTATTGACTGTATTCCCTATGCTGTACTTTGCATCCTCATCACAATTTTCTAACTACCAATTTGTGTTTTTTTAAATAAATCTTTATTGTTGAAAGTATTACATATGTCCCCCTTCTCCCCCCATTGGCCCCCTCCAGCCCCCCACCCCCCAAGCACTCTTTTATATGTAATTTGTAATTTATTACCAGAAAAACACTATTTTAAGGTCATTGTGATGAAGATGAGCTATTGCAGGTCAAAGACCTGACCCTCAGTGTTCTCAGGAGAGAAATGGCTGGAATAGTCAGTACATCCCCCGTCCCGCCCCACCCCCACCCCGCCTCCCACAGAGGATTACGGTGCATCAGGGTGGGCAAGCCCTGGGAAAGCCCTTTGCAGGTGGTAGAGCTCTGCAGAAGCTTCCAGGGCGGGGGGAGGGGGGGGCTCTTCTTTGTGTTCGTTGTAGAGACACCACAGACGTGAACCCCAGTTATAGGGAAGGGACCTGGCTTTCCATTCTCCTGTCCCGCTTCCCCCTCGGCACTCTCCAGCTGAGGTCCCCGAACCTCCTGTTGGTTAGCAAGGAACCCCCCTCAAGACTTCTGTGACCAAAAAAGAATTTTTCCATGACGCTTCTGCCCAATCTTGCTCCCCAAAGCCATTGCCAGTCTCACAAGACACTTTTTTAAAATATATTTTATTGATTTTTTACAGAGAGGGATAGAGAGTTAGAAACATTGATGAGAGAGAAACATCGATCAGCTGCCTCCTGCTGGGGATGTGTCCACAACCAAGGTTACATGCCCTTGACCGGGATCAAACCTGGGACCCTTTAGTCCACAGGCCAACACTCTATCCACTGAGCCAAACCGGTTAGGGCTGTCTCACAAGATATTAAGGTAACATTTAAGCAATAGACCACAAGTCAACATTTTTAAAGCTACAGTATAAGAAATAAGGTACTTTCTGCCCTAACCGATTTGGCTCAGTGGATAGAGCGTCGGCCTGCGGACTGAAGGGTCCCAGGTTCGATTCCGGTCAAGGGCATGTACCTGGGTTGCGGGCACATCCCCAGGGGGGGGGGGGGGGGGGTGCCGGAGGCAGCTGATCGATGTTCTCTCTCATCGATGTTTCTAACTCACTATCCCTCTCCCTTCCACTCTGTAAAAAATCAATAAAATATATTTAAAAAAAAGAAATAAGGGACTTTCTTTTCTAGTGCCTGCAAATTAAAAGAAAAAGAGAGGAAGAGCCCAGCGGGGGGATCATTATTTGCTAACACGTTGGAAAATCACGTTCCTTTCCCATTTCAGTGATGCTACAGGCAGGAGGCGGAAGAGAGGACTGTAGTGCGGGACCCGGGCTGCAGTCTTACCCATGGCGGATTCACCCAGGGATACATCCAGGAGCCACCGTAAAGCCCAGTTTACACACGTCAGTTAAACGCCTTCGGCACAGGAGTCATCCCACGGTATTTCTGACAGCGGTGACATCTTAGAGGAAGAAGTGCCCTGCACGCATCGGAGTGATCGACATTCGATACCATGTATTGTTGGCAATATTCAAGGGCTAGTCATGCCACTTTCTTCCTTCCGCTTGGGCATTTTGGATGATTGCTGGTGTCCCTTTATAGTCAGGTCTGCCTGGTTTTGCCTGCTAATAACATCTTCGTCACGAAGAGGTCCACACCAGGGTTATTTAAATACTTAAAACGAGGAACAATTAAACCCTGGGCTGAAACATTAGTCTAGTGGGAGGGATAGGGTTACTTCCTTCAGTAACACACTCATCTACCCTCTCAGGTGAAGACCGTCTCTCAGAGGCTCAGGGACGTGGTTGTAAACACCGGCCGTGGACGCAGGCGCTGAGGGAGGACCGGGGGATGGACTTGGGATCTTGAAATGGTGGGTTTTGAAGAGCCGACCTCGGGCCAGAGGGTCATCGAGTGCCCGGAAGATGTCAACAGCCCCCGCTGCGGCTCAGACGCCTGGGGGGTGACCCGCACCCACTAGGATGCCCGGATGGTTCAAGAAGGTGTGGTACGGGCTGGCGTCTCTACTCAGCTTCTCCTCCTTCATCCTCATCATCGTTGCTCTGGTGCTGCCCCACTGGCTGAGCGGGAAGATCCTTTGTCAGACGGGAGTGGACCTGGTCAACGCCACCGACCCAGAGCTGGTCAAATTCATTGGGGACATTTACTACGGGCTCTTCCGAGGGTGCAAGGTGCGGCAGTGCGGGCTCGGGGGCCGCGAGTCCCAATTCACGAGTGAGTACGTTCGGGGCAGGAAAGATGCTTTAGATTCTAACACTTATTTTTCCAAATCGGGAAGGGTGCTTCTGTCTAAATGTGGAGTTTGACTTCTGCCTCACCCTGAGACACAATGACAAAGTCCACACTCACCCAGGGGTTCTTGTTCGGCACTAAGAAGAGACCTTTTTTCCCCTGTGAAGGCTCGTAGAAACATTAGAAATAGGGATTTGTATTCCTTTTCGTTTACCACTATTAATAATAGCTACTAAAATATTGAGTGCTTACATGTGGCAGACATTCTGCTAGTGCTTCACACAGCTGGTCTCTTAAGCCTTACAACAAATTTATTAAGAGGGAATTATTAACGATCCCATTTTGCATAGGACTACACTGAGGCTCAGAGAGGTTGCATAACTTGCCTGAGGCCACCCAGCCAGGAAACAGCAGAGCAGAGAGGGACTTCATGGCCACACCCTCTGCCTCAGGCTCTCTCAGCCAGTCCCATAGGCAGGTGAAATAGGCTGCCGGCAGAAACCAGCCATCAGGGATCGTGGCAACTGCTTCTACTTCTGTTTATATAAAAGCTTGGTAGTCTGCCTGGCTGGTGTGGCTCAGTGGTTGAGTGTTGACCCATGAACCGGGAGGTTATGGTTCAATTCTTGGGCAGGGCAGGTGAGGGGCATGCACAAGGCAGCCGATCAATGATTCTCTCATCATTGATGTTTCTATCCCTCTCTCCCTCTCTCTTCCTCTCTGAAATCAATTTAAAAAAATTAAAAATTTTGTAGTCTGAGAAAAGCAAATGGGCTCTGTGCTGGGCTCTGGAATCAGACTACCCCGGTTCAAAGCCTAGCTTGCATGTTTGCTGGCAGGAGACCTCAGGCAAGGCTTCTGGCCATGAACGTGGGCGGGCACGAGCATCGGCTGACAGGCACTAGTGCTGGCTGGCATCCAGTGTCACGTCAGAGCTGCTCTGGATGTAAATAGAGCAGGACTCCATGACTGGTCTTCTGGAAAGAAAAAACAAAAACAAAAAAGGCAATATCCTGAAAGCCTTTGGAGTCAGATTGCTGGTGAGAACAGCGTTCTACAAAATACAAAATCAAAATTACTCAACATATTGCTGAGAATAAAGAATTTTATTCATTATTTGATTTTATATTTCAAAATTGTAGTTCTTAAGAACCTGATCAGGGTTAGTATCTTATTAAATGTATAAAGGCAGAAGCTGGGCCATTGACAAATACTCTAATACAAATTGACATCATTTAAATACCTGAAGGAAATACATATTTTGTTACATGCATTCAAGAAAATAGGAATAGTTGCATTTACCTGGCAATTAAATTAGAATGGGATATTGAGGATATTGGAATATATAGCTCTATTAAAAACATAACATAGCCCTGGCCAGATGGCTCAGCTGGTTGGCATGTCATCATGTACAACAAAAGATCAGGGGTTCGATTCTAGGTCAGGGCACATACCTAGGTTTCGAGTACGATCCTCAGTCTGAGCACGTATGGGAGGCAACTGACTGATGTTTCTCTCTCTCAAAATCAATCTTTAAAAAACACCCTAGGGTGAGAATTTAAAAAAAAACAAAACATAACATAAAAGGCTGAACACACACACACACACACACACACACACACACATGAACAATGAAATAAAAATAAAGGACAAGTTAAAAGGAAACGCCCCAGAGAACCAATTTCCAAACCAATCATAGAGAAAACCAAAGAACTATATGGTTGACCCTGGAACAACATGGGGGTTAGAGGTGCCAGTGCCCCACAACTGTAAGTTGATGCCATCTGTTTACAAGATGAAAATGGTCAGCATGTAAGTGGACCTGTGAAGTTCAAATCCATGTTGTTCAAGTGTCAACTGTAGCCCTGGCTGGGGTAGCTCAGTTTGTTAGAGCCACGTCCTGATACGCTGAGGTTGTGGGTTCCATCCCCAGTAGGGGGCACATACAATAATCAACCAATGAATGCATAAATGAGGAGAACAACAAATTGATTTATCTATCCATCTATCTATCTAAAATCAATCAATCAATAAAAATTTAGGGGGAAAAAGCCAACTGTATATTACAACCAGTTAAGATCCTTTTTCATACCTAAGGACACATGACGCAATTTCATCTTTTGATTTTTCTCCAATCTTTTGCTACTGGAATGAATATCCAATATACTAGTATACAGCTTTGAACATATGTGGGTGTGCTCTCGTGAAATCACTTTGATAGAGTTACCAAATTGCCCTCTCAGGAGAGTAGAAGAATTACCAAATTGCCTTCTCAGGAGAGTATATGAATTAATATTCTACACTGTTTGACACCTTTATCAACACACTGTATTAGCAAACTGTTTTATCTTTGCCAATCACATAGTGATTCTTTTCTACTTTAAGTGTTTGGTGAGGATTGCGATGCTAGTCATGTTCTCAGGATTGCATTTCAAAAAAAGAGATGAGTCCAGCGGCGTGGCTCAGTGGTTGAATGTCAACCTATGAACCAGGAGGTCACAGCTCTATTCCCGGTTGGGGCATATGCCCAGGTTGCGGGCTCAATCCCCAGTGTGGGGTGTGCAGGTGGCAACTGATCAATGATTCTCTCTCATCATTGATATTTCTATCTTTCCCTCTCCCTTCATCTCTGAAATCAATAAAAATATATTTTACAAAGGAAGAAAGGGATAATGAAACAAGTAGGTAACCAGGCATAGGTACTATGTTTGGAATAAAAAAGGGCTGAAAGTGTGAAAAGAAAAACAAATGTATATTAGGGGTACTGAGGTGGGAAGGAAGGAAAAGGGAGCGAGAAGCCTTACGCAGGAAAATCCCTTGGAAAGGAGTTTATTTTCCAGGGTACGGTTTCCAGTGCTGATCTGATAACCTGGTGGAGATAACTGTAAATGGAAACACTCCCAGACAGGAAGTTAGATCAAAACTAAGGACATAGACATGGAGTGTCTGGAAACTTCTGAGTGGAAAGGACACTTTAAAGGAAGAAGGACCCAAAACGCTCACTCTCAGGCCTGGGAGACACCCACCTTCCATGAATAATGGGAGGCAGTGAGCCAGCAAAGGCCCCAAGGGGAAAGGAATGGGGTTGTGAGGTGAGTGGACCCAGGAGAGCTTTGAGTCCTGGATCCTGAGGGGGACAAAGAGGTGCTGGTCAGTGGTATCAAATGATGAAGGAGGGACTTTGGAGTTCAAAGACAGACCCCAATTTGACCGGGAGGTATTCAGTAGAAACCCTGGGATAGTTGCAGACGAGTGGGTCTGCCCATTTCTTTAGTGTTCCATCATTTTGAAGTCTTCATGTATAACTACAGAAAATAGTGATCTAAACTCTGTAGGCTACACAAGACTATAATCCTGTGTGTAGAGTTCAGGGTCACCTTCCCCAAAGATAAGGGAGTTAATGTCTCCAAACCTGTGGGGAAAAGGGGTTCATAAAATCAACCACATATCCTTGTCACAAGGATGGAAGGAGAGAACAAATGTAAAATGCTCAGCCACTGACTAATGCTCAGTCAATGCTGATTACCCCCAATTCATACACTATGCAGGTATCATTACCCCCATTACACTGATAGGAGACAGGATCTGCAAAGTCAGAGAGTAAAAATAGCAACTGCAACAACCACAGCCACCTTTTTGGGGAACTGACTTTTTCCCAGGCAATATTTAAATTATTCTGTTATGATACATGCTTTAATCTTCACAGCTAGAACATAGTGGCAAATATAGAGAAAACAAATACCAATACTCAATTATCCTGCCACATGCATATGGACATTTTCAGAGTAGTGTGCAACGTAATTGAGTGTCCACCAGACATGGGGAAATAATGTCTACCTTGCTGAGTCATTATGAGGGATGCACAGTGATGCTCCTTGCTTCCCATAGTGCCCACTGGTGGGCGCTATTATCATCCCTACACACTTCACTTGATCCGCTGGACAATCTTGTAAGATGGGTATGAAGGGCAGGGTTTAGAGCAGTGGTTCTCAACCTGTGGGTCGCGACCCCTTTGGGGGTCGAACGACCCTTTCACAGCGGTCACCTAAGACCATTGAAAAACACATATATAATTACACTAGAGCAGTGATGGTGAACCTATGACACATGTGTCAGAGGTGACACGTGAACTCATTTTTTTTGGTTGATTTTTCTTTGTTAAATGGCATTTAAATATATAAAATAAATATCAAAAATATAAGTCTTTGTTTTACTATGGTTGCAAATATCAAAAAATTTCTATATGTGACACAGCACCAGAGTTAAGTTAGGGTTTTTCAAAAAACGCCATCACTGCACTAGAGGCCCGGTGCACAAAAATTTGTGCACTCGGGGGCAAGGGGGGGCCCTCATCCCAGCCTTTGCCCTCTGGCAGCCTGGGAGCCATCGGGGGATGTCCACTTGCCAGCCGGGAGCAGGCCTAAGCTGCAGTCGGCCATCCTTAGCGCTGCTGAGGAGGCAGGAGAGGCTCCCACCTCCACCGCTGTACTGGCAGCCGTCAGCCTGGCTTGTCGTTGAGCAGAGCTCCCCCTGTGGGAGCGCACTGACCACCAGGGGGCAGATCCTGCATTGAGTATCTGCCCCCTGGTGGTCAGTGTGTGTCATAGTGACCAGTCATTCCCAGTCATTCTGCTGTTAGGGTCAATTTGCATATTACCCTTTTATTATATAGGATAGAACCCTGGTGCATGGGTGGGGGCCAGCTGGTTTGCCCTGAAGGGTGTCCCAGATCAGGGTGGGGGTCCCACTGGGGTGCCTGGCCAGCCTGGGTGAGGGGCTGAGGGCTGTTTGCAGGCTGGCCACGGCCCCTAGTCCCAAGCTCCCAGTGGAGGCTGGCTGGAAGCAGGTATCTGGGATTTATTTATCTTCTATAATTGAAACTTTGCAGCCTTGAGCAGAGGCCACAGCCGGCCAGGGCAGGCTGAAAGCTTGGCTTTCTCCATTGCCGGGGCAACCAAGCCTCCTGCTTGCTCCAGCTCTGTGGCTGCCAGCCGCCATCTTGGTTGGGTTAATTTGCATATAGTCGCTCTGATTGGCTGGTAGGCGCGGCTTGGGGTGTAGCAGAGGTACAGTCAATTTGCATGTTTCTCTTTTATTAGATTAGATATTGTTTTTGTAAATAATCACTATGCTTTAATTATGTTCAATTTGTGACAATGGAAATACATCCTGCATATCAGATATTTACATTACAATTCATAACAGTAGCAAAATTACAGTTATGAAGTAGCAACGAAAATAATTTTATGGTTAGGGGTCACCACAGGAGGAACTGTATTAAAGGGTCGCGGCATTAGGAAGGTTGAGAACCACTGGTTTAGAGGATCCTATTTGACAGTTGTGGCAAATGAGCAAAGCTGAGATTTGAACCCAGATCTTTGGGTGCCAGATCTAGGCTTCACTCGGCTACATCCTGCTACCCTCTTCACACATATGCCTGAGACCAATCCTGATTTAATGAAAGCAACTCTCTTAACACATATTCAAGCTTTGCAATCGTCCCTCTTTCAGTGACTCTCTTGCCAACCTCTTTTGCCAAAGAGACGCCTTCTGCCCCACCTGTGTGGCTCAGTCCTTGAGCATCCACCCATGAACCAGGAGATCATGGTTCAATTCCTGGTCAGGACACATGCCCAGATTGTGGACTTAATTCTCTCTCATCATTGATGTTTCTATCTCCCTCTCCCTTCCTCTCTGAAATCAATAATCCTATATAATAAAGATGTAATATGCAAATTGTTGTTACGTAATGACAGACCGAGTAAGGACTAGATCACGGATCAGCAGGAGGGTGGGGCAGCGAGCTACAAACGGGCAGCAGATAGCTACAGGAGGGGACAGGGCAGCAAGCCAATGAGAGGGGGGAAAAAGCGGGGAGGGGGAAAGGGACAGGGGCAGCTACAGGAGGGTGGGGCAGCAGCCGGAGAGCTACAGGAGGGCAGCAGTGAGCTACTGGCACACAGATTCATGCGCAGGGCTACTAATATATATATATATAATGCCATCTGGGTTTATATGCACCAGCTCACACCAGACCCCAGGGCTGTGCAGTCAATGCACTTTAAATTGCCAACAGGACACATTTAGAGTTTGCATTCTCCTCAAGGAAGAGAGGATGGTTGGACAACTAACAAGTGGCAGACCCGGAGGCCATGACTAGCTCCAGCTCTTTGAAAGCCCAGCACTTGCTGCCCCGCCCTCACACCCTCTAGTAAAGCCTCCGTGGTATGCAAACTTGGGCCCTACGAACTTGAGCTGAGCTCTGATGTTGACATAACGGCCGTGTCCTCTCCGCAGTCTTCCCACAGCTGGTGAAGGAGCTCAACGCGGGCCTGCACGTGATGATCCTGCTGCTCCTCTTCCTGGCCTTGGCCCTGGCTCTGGTCAGCATGGGCTTTGCCATTCTCAACATGATCCAGGTTCCCTACAAGGCGGTCAATGGCCCCGGGGGCATCTGCCTTTGGAACATCCTGGCAGGTAAGGAGGGCCCCTGGGGGAGAAACTCGTGTCTCACCGTCACTAGGCTGAGTTCCGCCTTCACTTCCCTGGGTCTATAGCCTTCCTGACGGGCACGGATATCCTCCTTATTAAACGAGGCAGAGTCTCTGTCACAATAAAGGACCAAATGGTTAGAGCGCATGACTAGGGGCTGCTGCTGGGAGGAGCCCTCATGGATGACAGGAGAGAAGAAACCTGGGGATTTCACCTGCCTGTTTTGTTTAAACCTCACAACCTCCATGCAGCGGTTGCCAACCTTTCGGACCTCACGGACCACCAGTTGGCGACCACTGAATGAAGTATTATTAGCCCCCTGTTTACAGATGCGGAGCCCGAAGCTCACGCATAAGATCACACAGCAGTGAGTAGCAGAGGTGGGATTCCACCCCAGGTAACGCTGAGGCCAAGCCCTTTGCCTTTTCATTAATCCTTGGTCTCATTGATGACCATTGCGCCCTATTTTCCAAGCCAAACACCAATACAAAAGGAGTGTGTGTGTGTGTGTGTGTGAGAGAGAGAGAGAATTTGGGCGTATATTGATACATAGACATTAATTCACATTTAGTTCTAAACTTTAAAAAATCATCTGTAATGAAAATAACAAAATCCTGAGAAATGAGGGCCATCTCAGAAAGCCCAGGTCCCATGGGCAACGTGTTCTAGCAATAATCTGCTACCTTTACCTGACAAGGGTGACCATGAAGTACAAAGACAGATACTGTTGTTTGACCCTGTATTAGAATGCATTGTCAGTAAGTCAGTTAGCACGTAGTTGCCTGTGTCTGAGACTGTGGCCATCCTTTAGGATCACTTCTATACATGCTTGACCCCCTACCTGGGCTACAGGTGTCCCGTTCACCTCTGCATGAACGCCCACAGTACTGGCGTGGAAAAGTGCTCAGTCCTGCTTCCTAAGTAAATGCTTATCTCTGTCAATTTCCTTCCTCAGAGAGACAATACTCTCAAGCTCCACTGACCAGGGTACTAAAAAAAGGTATTTTGACAAAACTTTAGCATCAAAGGGCATAAAAATATGAATATCGTCGTAGCTGGTTTGGCCCAGTGGATAGAGCGTCGGCCTGCCGATTGAAGGGTCCCAGGTTCAATTCCAGTCAAGGGCCCATGCCCAGGTTGCAGGCTCGATCCCCAGTAGGGGCCGTGCAGGAGGCAGCTGATCAATGATTCCCATCATTGATGTTTCAATCTCTCTCTCCCTTTCCCTCTCTGAAATCAATAAAAATATATGTTTTTAAAATATGAATATATTTTTATGAAACAATTCCAATGGGAATTTTTGCTAAGGAAATAACTGGAAAAGATATTCATAAGAAGGTGTTTGCTGCAGTGCTTTCTAATATCAAAAATTAGAAGCAATCTAGGTACCCAGAAATAAGATCACACTTAATCAAACTGAATTAAATTAACTAAGCATGTTGCTAGGATAAAATACTATGTACCAGTGTAAAGTGGTACAGTAACAGAATATTTGACAACGCGGGGAAATGTTCAAGTAAGGGGGGAAATCAAGTGTAAAACGGTTAGAGTGCCATAATACTGATTTTGTTCAAGAGAAAGAAATCCAAAGAAATACACTAAAATGTTTAAAGTGTTTATACCTGGCTTTTAGGATAAAAGTACATTTGTATTTTCATCTTTCTGATTTTTTCTGGTTTCCAAATTTTCTTCAATGGAGATGTAATAATCTAAACAAAAAGCATAGTAAATGTGTTTTTTTTTTGAAATACAAATAAAATCAAGGCAGTAGGAGAGAGAGAGAGAGAGAGAGAGAGAGAGAGAGAGAGAGAGAGAGAGAGAGAGGGAGAGGGAGGAAAAGAGAGAGAAAGAGAAGTTAAAGTTTGAAGCAACAGGTCGGAAACATATGAAGCTTGGAGTCCTTTCCGTTTCCCCTCTACCGTCCTTTCCTCCTTTTCTCATCTCTTCTTAATCTAAAACATGGGAAGAGGATCATTAAAAAGCAGAGAGCAGTCTACCCTCTGTGGAAACCCCGATCCACACATAAGATATTCTTTTTTGTTATTGTTGTTAATCCTCACCCAAGGCTATTTTTCATTGATTTTTGGTGAGAGTAGGAGAGAGAGGGAAAGACTGAGAAGCATCACGTGAGAGAAACAAATCAACTGGTGGCCTCCTGCATTAGCCCAACCAGGGCCTGGGCCAGGGAGGAACCTACAATGGAGGTGGATGCCCTTGACCGGAATCTAACCCAGGACCCTTAGGTCTGCAGGCCAACACTCCATCCACTGAGTCAAACCGGCTAGGGCCGTGGTCGGCAAACCGCGGCTCGTGAGCCACATGCGGCTCTTTGGCCCCTTGAGTGTGGCTCTTCCACAAAATACCACGTGCGGGCGCACATGTACAATGCAATTGAAACTTTGTGGCCCATGCGCAGAAGTCGGTATTTTGTGGAAGAGCCACACTCAAGGGGCCAAAGGGCCGCATGTGGCTCGCAAGCCATGGTTTGCCGAGCCGCAGTTTGCTGACCACTGGGCTAGGGCATTTTCTTTTTTTTTTCTTTTTTTAATATGTTTTATTGATTTTTTACAGAGAGGAGGGGAGAGGGACAGAGAGCCAGAAACATCGATGAGAGAGAAACATCAACCAGCTGCCTCCTGCACACTCCCCACTGGGGATGTGCCTGCAACCAAGGTACATGCCCTTGACCAGAATCGAACCTGGGACCTTTCAGTCCGCAGGCCGATGCTCTATCCACTGAGCCAAACCGGTTAGGGCTAGGGCATTTTCTTATATCTTCCCACATCGCCCTCAGGGTCTACATCCTAATCCTAAACAATTTAGAAATTGAACTAATCCAGATGTGCACACCCTAGAAAGAACGGCACTGGGCAGGAAAAAAATTAGAGGGGTCAAGGGTGAAAGCCCATCTGATCTGAAGCTTATCCTCTTTCTGCAACATCGCTCACCTCTCACACCGTGTGGGCTATCTGCCGCTTTAAAGAGCAATTTAAAATTTGTGTCTCCCTAAGGGCTTTTTTATACATCTGTGGGGTTTATTTTTTAATATATTTTTATTGATTTCAGAGAGGAAGGAAGAGGGAGAGATAGAAACATCCATGCTGAGAGAGAATCATGGATCAACTGCCTCCTGCAAGTCCCCCACTGGGGATCGAGCCCACAACCTGGGCATTTGCCCTTGACCGGAATCGAACCTGGGACCTTTCAGTTCGCAGGCCAACGCTCTATCCACTGAGCCAAACCGGCTAGGGCTCCCTCAGGGCTCTTTTAAACCCAAAGCGAGTTTGTTGCCTCAGAAATGCCACCTCCCATAAAGTCGTTACGACTGACGAAAGGAGCTGTGAGTGAGGGCCACCTTTCTGGGTTGCAGGTGGCGTCGTGGCCTTGGCCATCACCAGCTTCATGGCCGCCGTGAGATTCCACGACCTGACGGAACGCATCGCCAACTTCCAGGAGAGGCTCTTCCGCTTCGTGGTGGTGGAAGAGCAGTACGAAGAGTCCTTCTGGATCTGCGTGGCCAGCGCCTCCGCCCACGCTGCCAACTTGGTGGTGGTGGCCATCAGTCAGATTCCCCTCCCAGAGATTAAGACCAAAATAGAAGAGGCCACAGTCACGGCCGAGGATATCTTGTATTAATAGCCTTCTCCTGGCCGCACCCTCTCCTCAGTCAGTCTGGTGCAGGGATGGAGGCCTCATCTTTGTTGCAGGCTTCGCCATCCAGAATGTCCATGATTTTGGCAACGAGAAGAAGGCGATGGGAGGAGGGAGGCTGGTACCTAGGCCAGAAGAGGAAAACGTTCCCGGATTCCTGGCAGCTCTGTCCTTCTCTCTCAATGACCTTGGACTTGAACTTGAAAACTTTGCATTTGCCAGCTGTGTGACATTGGACAATTCATTTCACGTCTACTTCTCAGTTCCCTCATCTGTAAAATGGGGATAAGAATGACCTCACCTGATGTAATGGGGTATAATGTTGCCAGGCTTTGGATATTTTAGAGCATTTCACGAATATAAGACACTGAACACTCTAACAGATGCCTGTAGACCCTGGTCTATTCCATGCATTATGGCGGGGGGGAGGTTTGTTGCTGTCCCTGCCCTCCAGAAACACTGGATCTTTCCACCTGACACAGGAACCAGAGAGAAACAATAGCATTAAGAATGAAAATAACTGCCTTTTCTTAGTGATTACTACATGTGGAAAATTATTCTTAGAGTTTTAGGTACATTAGGTTCCCACTACAACCATAGATTGTCAGTACAACTTTGTATTTCCATTTTTATAGATGAGACTAAGGCACGGAGAGCTTGGGTAACTTGTGAGGTCGGGACTTGAACCCTGGGAGCTGGAGCCGGGTTTGCATTCGGAACCACTTCGCTAGGCTGTCGTCTGACGTGTAAGCAATTGCAGCGCAGTGTGTGTGACCAGTGCTGTCACAGCACAGACATAGAGGGTCGAGGACGGAACGAGTTCCTCGGGAAGGGAGGAAGGGATGTGGGATTAAAGGAAGTGTCACACCGGAGACATTGGATCTGAACTCTGAAAGGTGAGCAGAGTTTTTCCAGTGTTGAAGGAAGCAGGGCTGGGCAAAGGCATTCCAGGATGTGTCCGTGATGAGGGGAGGCACAAGGTATGAAATTACAAGGGGAACGAATTCACCGGTTGGATAAACCCAGCTGTTTTGTGTTGGGTTTGGGCTTTCCTACATGGTATTGTGATGGTTAATTTTATGCGTTGACTTAGCCAGGCCACAGGACCCAGATGTTTGCTCAAACACTATTCTAGATGTCTTTGTGAAGGTATTTCTGGGGTGGGATTTACAGTTAAATTAGTAGACTTCGAATAAAGCAGATTGCTCTCCATGTGTGGGTGGGCCTCATCCAATCAGTTGAAGGCCTTAAGGAAAAAGACTTTCCAGTCCCAAGGGAGAGGGAATTCTGCCAACAATCGCCATCAGACTTAAAATGCACATCTTTCCTGGAACCAGCTCACCTCACAGATTTTGGTCTTGCCAGTCTCCACAATCATGTGAGCCAATTTCTTAAAATCTCTCTCTCTCTCTCTCTCTCTCTCTCTCTCTCTCTCTCTCTATATATATATATATATATATATATATGCACATACATTCTATTGGTTCTTGTCTTCTGGAGAACCCTCACTCATTCAATCGTATTAATTTATTAATTCCTGGGGTGGATCTTTTCCCAGGTCTCCTGTCTTCATGCCAAGTAAAAGTTATCTAATCCCCCAAATTAGCTCCTTCTTACATGACACCTGATTTGGACTCTCTCTGCCTTTGCTTAATGCGAAGTGTCCATGGCATTGTTCTGTTCTAATTGCTTATGACCCCCTATGGGGCCCATCTGTCTCTTCCAGCCCTCAATCCCCATCCCAGACACAGCTGCAGTCCTAGTTAGTGGACTGATGTCACTCATCAAATATGCAGATGGCACACGGCTGGAGTGGATAGTTAACTCGATAGGTGATGAATCCAAAAGATAGTGGCAGACTGCAGTGCTGTCTCAAAACACATGGAAATGTCAATGTCCTACTAAGTTTAACGTACAGTCCTGCTGACAGTTGAAAACAATCAATAACATAAATCCGGGACACTCAGGCAACAGGTTATAATGATCTGTACTCTCTCTAAACTGTAGTGGTGTAAGTGCTATAGACAACATTTTTATTTGACTTTGATACTGAACTATGCAATTGGATTAAATGGAAAAAAACCCACCCATGTAAACATATAATAAATTGAAATTTTATTAGAAGGCTGAAAATGAATGATTTCACGTGGACACAAAAAGAGTAGTGATAGATCAGGTCCTATTATCATGTGCCTGAATGTAAGAGAAAATAGATGGTGAATGGTATTTTTTAAAAAGTCAGATGCCAAGTTCAAAGATGTATAATATTGTTTTAAAAAATGCTCACCCATGCCCAACCGGTTTGGCTCAGTGGATAGAGCATCAGCCTGCGGCCTGGAGTGTCCCAGGGTCCCAGGTTCGATTCCGGTCAAGGGCATGTACCTTGGTTGCGGGCACATCCCCAGTGGGAGATGTGCAAGAGGCAGCTGATCGATGTTTCTCTCTCATCGATATTTCTAACTCTCTATCCCTCTCCCTTCCTCTCTGTAATAAATCAATAAAATATATTTTTAAAAAAATGCTCACCCTATTAATTGGTTATCTTGACAGTTTAGGACTGAATATTCCTAATGCAGTGAAAACTGTATCCAAAACTGTATATTTTTATTGATTTCAGAGAGAAATAGAGAGTGCGAGAGAGATAGAAACATCAACGATGAGAGAATATATCATGGATCAGCTGCTTCCTGCAAGTCCACAACTGGGGGTTGAGCATGGAAACCTGGCATGTGTCCTGATCAGGAATCGAACCATGACCTGCACCGGCCAGACTAAAAATATGTTTTTATTGATTTTTTTTTTTTTGAAGTGGCAAGTTCTGCTTTTTTGATGTCTATAAATCTCAATAATTGAATATTGTAGAATTATGTAGATCTCAGTTTCTGACAGCAAGTGAGGCTATAGCAAATAAAAGGCGGCTTTTATCTTGAAAGACTATTGAGGATGTCTGAAGACTGGGCGCGCATCTGTCCAATACCTGTCCATCTTTTAGTTCAGCTTAGGAACTTCAGGACCCGAATTTTGTCCCATTCTTCTCTGGAGTCAAGTATTGGAGAACAAGTGGTACAGACAGGTAATCAGGGCCACTTGAAAGAACTAAGAGATCATCATGATTTTTCAAAGATTAATGAATACTGCCTGCGTGTTATGGTCAATTTCCTATTTGAGAAAATTTGTGGAGGACTTACTAGTATGCCTAATGTGGTTTAACACTATACCTGAGATTAGAGAATGGACTGCAGTCATTCTTATTGATATTTTTTTAAGAGAGAGAGAAACATTAATCAGCTGCCTCCTGCACACCCCCTGATGGGGGATGGAACCCAGAACCTGGGCATGTGCCCTGACTCAGAATTGAACCCGTGACCCTTTGGTGCAAAGAATGACGTTCAACCAACTGAGCCACACCAGCCAGAACCAACTAGAATATAATAAATCTGAAGACAGTAATGGGGTGTAATAGTAAAGTTCTAAAAATAACCAATGATTAAACTAAACAAAGAACATAAAAAACAAAAATCTGAGATACCACCCAGAGATGAGGGTCAGTATTAGATCAACTATCGTGCTCATTTTTTGTACTGTAAGGGCAGTCTTGGAATAGAAAATAGGTGGGCATTACAGTTTAAGAAATGAAATATATCACCATTACGTTTCTGTTTCTTCAATTTTCATTCCCTCCTATGAAACTTTATCTTTGTTCCCTACCGAGTGTACAAAAAAGATATTGATGATATTTGGAAATGTATCAAGAAGACAAAATCATTCGTATATTTTAGATATCTCTAAAATTTGACTGCACTGTTGAAATGAAATGCATCAGCATGTACATCTGAGATGATGATGATGTCCTTAAAGTCCAAACTCCCATAAGAAAAACAATGCTGAGAAATCTCCAGCTCAGAAACATTGATGAATCTAAGATTTTTGCTATAATTTAGCATAATGATAATGTAACTGATCAGAAATTTTCTGGAAGGGGGCTATTTTCATGTTCTAAATAGCTGATTGATCAAATTTATCTGATTTATAGAACTGTAGTGCATTACAGTTCAGGACTAAAGGAAATTTATATATATATATATATATATATATATATATATATATATATATATACACACACACACACACACATATATATAATCTCCCACGTTCAAAGGCTGTTAAATCGCGTTCACCCATATCTTCAGAAAAAAGTCACTTCTACTGTTGTGGTAAACAACCCGCTTCCCTATTTATAATGGTCTGGCCCTCTAGCACTTCAGTGTGAAATTATAGCTAATTTGCCTGCAAATGTCAGGTGGTCATAATAATCTGGCCACTCAGTGTATAGTAAAGTGTGATATTTTTAAAGCAGGTAATAAATTTACTCAAAAATGGCTTTTCAGCATTATGTATCATTTTATAGTTAATTAAGGCATCTAATCATTATGACTTCAATTACAAATATCTAATTAATACAAAATTATTTAGAATATTAAATTAGAAAATGTATGTTACTTTTGTTACATGTTGGTAATTTATCATTGAATCGGTATTTTACAACCCTACTAGTATATTGGATTGTTTATTTTTGTTTCAAAGTAAAAGAATAGCTTTTTGGCTTCCAAATGGTCAAATAAATCATGAAAGTGTTAATTTGCCCAGCAATTTATATCTATACTTGATACTGTATAAGAACTCTAGAGATGTGTTTATCAATTTTAGGTAAGTAATAGTGAACTTGATGGATATTTATGGTGGTGTCTTTGAAGTAATGACCCCAATTTGCTCACACCTTTCTGTATCCATGCCATTTGTTAGTGTCCTCCAGACTTTGGACTTGGTCATCTGATTTGCTTTGGTCAATGGGACAGCAACAAGCACATATAAGGCAGCAAAGACTTGAAAAGCACTTGCACATTAGTGCTTACGCTCTTGCTGTGTTTGACATGCTGCCACTATGTAAATAAGCTCTAGCTAGCCTCTGAGTGATGAGATGCATGAGACACATGGCTCAGTCATTCCCATTATTTCAGCACAGAGGAGCCAAACTCCAGACCAGAGTGAAGCCTTCCTAGATCATGCAGTTTCCAGCTTAACAATCCCAGGCAAGATCAGCAGAACCACCCATCTGACACATAGAGTTTCCAGCAGTAATCTTTTAAGCCACTAGGTTATGGATCAGCTTGTTACACAGCAATCCTATATAATAAAAGGCTATGCAAATAGACCAAACAGCGGATGACGAGTCACTATGACATTCACTGACCACCAGGGGGCACATACTCAACACAGGAGCTGCCTGCCCCCTGGTGGTCAGTGCGCTCCCACACGGGGTGCGGGGAGCGCCCCTCAGCCAGATGCCCTGAGCCGGGCTCATGGCTGGCGAGTTCAGCGGCGGTGGTGGGAACCTCTCTGCAGCAGTGCTAAGGATGTTGGACTGACAGCCATCAGTCGGACATCCCCCGAGGGCTCCCAGGCTGCGAGAGGGTGCAGGCCAGGCTGTACACGAATGTCATGCACCCAGCCTCTAGTAAACAAATGATACACTATATATAGGAAATGGACTGCAGAACAAAAACATCTTTCCAAAGAATAGTAACATTTCCTTTGAGAGTAACTAGATTTGCAGTGTAAGAGACAATCTTGAATATGACCCTCTTCTATCCTTAGATTTGTGGATAGCTGACCTAGAAATTCTAGAGATACTATATTCATTAATTTTGTTCATTAACATTTCTATTCCCCTTTCTTTTAGGGAACATGGTAACATTACCCTTTCCCATCTGCAGTTGATTACAAAAGTGGCCACAGATTATTTTTTCCCCTCTATCCACACCCTTTTGCAATGTGACTGGCAACTCTTCTTGTTAAAAGGTACTTACCCTCATTGACTCTGGGCTTGGCCATATGATTGCTTTAGCCATTTGGACTGGAGCAAATGTGACCCAAGCCAAAGCTTTAAAAGTGCCTGTGCATTAGGGCTTGCTCTTTTACTGACCTTGGAATCCATGTGAACAAGCCAAGGCTAGCCTCTTGATGATACGGGACTATTGGCCTGCTTGGCCTGTTGTCCCAGGTGACGGTCAGCTCACCCTCAGAAACAGAGTTGCCTCTCTAACGGGAAGCTAATCACAAACATCTGAGTGAGCACAGCCCAGGTAAGTTGAACTATCCAGCTGAGACCAAACAAATTGTCACTCCATGGAATTATAAGCTAAATCAATTGTTGATGTTTTAAGCCAGTGGTTCTCAATCTTGGCTGCACATTAGAATCACCTGGGAATCGTTTTAAAATTCTGATTTCTGGGCCTCATCCTCCGGAAATTCTGTTTCCTTGCTACTAATGTTGTTGCCCCACCCCATAACAAAGAAAAACAATTTCTGGAGGATGAGGCCCAGAAATCAGAATTTTAAAACGATTCCCAGGTGATTCTAATGTGCAGCCAAGATTGAGAACCACTGTTTTAAGCTATTAAGTTTTGGGGTAGTTGGTTACACCTGCAAGCTATCCTATACAATAAAGAGCTAATATGCTAATTAGACCAACCATCCAACGACCTTCCAGATGAAGCCAGGCTGTGAGGGCCGAGGCAGCCAGGGATTTGAGGACCAAGCCCCTTAAACAAATTTCATGCATTGTGCCTCTAATTATATATATGTATGTGTGTGTGTGTGTGTATATATATATATATGTATGCCAAGCGACCAGAATGTCCAGAATGACCAGTTGCTATGACACATACTGTGGCAGCCAACCAGCCCTGATCACGGCCCCCCCCCAAACCTCCCTCGGCCCTTCCCCCTGGCCGGCCCTACCCCCAATCAGCTTTCCCCCAACCCCGATTGGGGGATCAGGGTAGGGGTGACCAACCTCCCACATCTCCTCCCCCCAACCAGTGTGGCCTGATCAGCCCCTATTGGGGTGGGCCGGCCAGACCCCACCTTTACGTGAATTCGTGCACCAGGCCTCTAGTCTGATATATTACTGTCTTAAAGTTAGGCATGACCATTTGATTTGCCTTACCTAGTGAAATATGTCACTTCTGGCAGAAGCCTTTAAGAGCTGGACAGTGATTTAACATCTTTTTCTTGTCATGGTGACTGGGGAGGTTCCAGGTGGTGGTGCTCCATAAACCTGGGTCCCTGAATGGGCATGGAACAGTTCTCCCCACCCTCCTTCACACTGATTTTTGGAGGACATGGACTTTAAGTAAGAACTAAATCTTTGTATTAAGCTACTGAGGTTTTGAGTCTCTGTTACTAGAGGATAATCTAGCCCAGTCATCGGCAAATTCATTTGTCAACAGAGCCAAATATCAACAGCACTTCTTCAAAATAGACTCGCCCAGGCCAAAAACCGACTTCTGTGCGTGGGCCACAACGTTTCAATCACACTGTACGTGCGCCTGCACATGGTATTTTGTGGAAGAGCCACACTCAAGGGGCCAAAAAGCTGCATGTGGCTCACAAGCCGCAGTTTGCCGACCACGGATCTAGCCTATTCTGACTATGTAGACATTGGTGCCCGGAAGAGGTAGAGTTATGACAATGGAAAACCTAAAATATGTGGCTGTGACTCAGAGGCTCAATGGGTGGTGGCAAGGAACCTGTTAGAGGCCTGAAAGTTAGTAGTCCATGTTAGCTGTGGTAAAATATGTGAGGCTCTCATTCCTTACCTTTACCGTGGTTATTCTGACTCTGTCCCCCCACTGTACATTGAGTGTGTGTGCGTGTGTGTGAGTGTGTGTGTGTGTAAGTGTTGTACCCAGATTTCAAGATTCCCAAGAACCCACAGGGAGCCAGCGAGTCCGATGCAAAAGCAAAGAGTCCCTCATTTCGAACTAGTTCGGCTCCCCGACCACACTCCCCGATGCAACGGTAGCCCAGTGGCTGAGAGAGAGAACTCTGTGTGGAGAGAGGTTTTATAGGGGGTTGGGGTAAGGGGAGGAGAAAGGACTGTGGGCCCTGCCGATTGGCCAGGCACAAGTCGGTGTCTTGTTACACAGGATGTGGTCATATCTATGGTGACTTCCCTTGACTATCATTGGCCAGTCCAGAGAAATCCTGGGCATGGCCAGCAGTGGCTTGGCTTCCGGGAAGAAGCCTTGCTGAGCACATGGCCAAGGTAAGATGGAGGGCATAGCCCTTACCCTGGGGCAAGGTGGAGGGCGTAGTCCTTACCCTGGGGCAACGTGGAGAGCGTAGTCCTCGCCCTTTCATAAGCAGAGAGGGATGAGTCTTCATCTTTTGAGGTCTCTATATCAATAGAAGCTTATTCCTGTTCTAATATAGGGACCATCAGCCATCACCCAGAGAGCTAGACTGAGATAAATGCCATTACTGAATAGAATTTTTGGATTGTCTCACTTGTGACAGGGGTGAATATATTTTGTAGTGTAAAGAGAGTGAACTGTAAATTGGTGACTAGAAAGATGGATTGCAGTATTGTCTTCACTAGCAGAGAGGTGTGGACAAGGAACCCGGAAGGCCGGTGACCTGGCAAAGGTCAGGGCTATGCACCCCCTGTTTAGTCCAGACAATGGTAGCTGAAGCAACTTCCCCATCTATTATCATGTAAATCCTTGCTGATGGGGTAGTCTTCCTGTTACTGGAACTTGCCTGCCTAAGGGCTATGGGTGGATCCCAAACCGAATAAAAAGATGGCGAGGCCTGAGCACAAGTGGAGTCCATCCTCTTGGGATGGGCTCTCGCCTGGCCCCCCAATCTTGAAATTATTATTTCTTGTCTCATCTCTTTTCATTTGTGTGGGGCCCCTCTTCCAGATCCTGAACCCTGAACCACGTGGGACGTGCGGGAAACAAAAATAAACACATTACACACATTGGTGCTCCTCACCAGTAAATTTTGGTTATCTTCCTTCTGGAAAAACAGGATTGCACTTCCGAGCTCCCTTGAAAAATAGGCATGCCTGTATAATTTGTTTTTATCCAAGAAACGTGAATGGAATTCACTTGTATCACTTTCAGGAAGAACCAATTTGTCATTCATCTTCCTTGGACCTATCATGCAAGTGGGGAAGTTACACTGATTGGGGCTCTCCTAAATGATCAGGTTGCTTGGTGACAAGGACCTGCTCTGAAGCTCCACCTCCCACCACCCCCAAAATTTTGGACCCTTGGTTAGGGCTTGTCGCTGCACCTTAAACTACTAGACCATCCTCACTAATGTCAATTACTGTGAAAGTGATCAGAAAGCTACAAATGCTGATGGTTGGCAATTATAAGTGGGATCAGTAATTGAAACTATCCACTGATAATTCCTAAAGCACCTTCACAAGTGATGTTACTTACTTCTCCAATTGTGACCATTCTAGAAAGGTGATTATGAGATTTTAAACTTCATTTTCTTAATCTGTGAAAATGTAAAACTACATCTTCAATGTTGAGAGGTAGTGATGAGCAATGAAATACTTCCTTGTAGGAAAAAAAAAAAAAAGCAAGGAAAGGTGGATGAGGATAAACTACAAAACAGGGAGGGTAGTACTGAACTCAGAAACCAGGAGTTTCCAGGAAGAAGTGAAACATATTGCCCACATACTTGTGCATAAATTTGCAGTAATACACAGGACTTCTTAGTAAATTTTGGGTTCGGCCCCCTGCACATATACAGAAACACATGCACAATTGCTGTGGTGCAAAAGTCAAAAGTGTCACTGAAGTTTATTTTAAATGAAAAGCTCATTCTGAAGAAGAAAATATATTTTCTCTAGCATAGTGTAGCATTCATTCCATAACATTTGTAAAGTGCTAAATACCACGCCACTCACTGTACTAGGTCAGGCAAGTGAAAGATGTCACGGTACAGAAGTCTCAATGGTCGCTGTCCTCCAGGAGTTTACATTTTGCAGAGGGTAAAGAGTTTCCTCTTTGGGGGTTTTTCATCCAGTCACACCCAATGCCCTCCGTAAATAATTTTCGGTGAAAAGCCCCGCATCTTTCCCTTAAGCCTTACACATGTTCACACTTTCCGAAATCTCTTCGCGCTGGAAACTGATGTTAGGGCGGGATCGCTCTGGATATTTCGCAGTTGTTTGGGATGCGGCCCCATGACCAGCTTACTTTTTCCAGGCAGTGGCGGGATGACAATGAGCACTCCCCCCCCCCCCCCCCTCCGCCCGCCCCTCCAAATTTCCAGCACTTAAAGCACAAAGTGCAGCTTGAACCATCAAGAAGCGGTCGACCTTGCGGTTTGCACCGCCCTTCTATAGCAGAACCTAAAGAAGTTGAGGCGGCTCGGTCAGACCGGGCAACGCGAGTAGAGCATTGCTGGGCGCAGGGCGTCGGAGGCCAAGTCCACCAGAGGCGCAGCGCAAAGGAGTCCAAGGCCGGTCTAGAAGCCCAAGTGTGCAAGGAGGACTGAAGAGTGCCCATCCCTGCGGGACTACAAGGACCAGCATGCATGGTGCCGCGGGGTCCAGCTCCGCTCTGGGACTCCGGCGCAACGGAGCCTGGGAAGTGAAGTCTCCGCGCAGCCCCAGTCGCTTCGGGAAGGCTGAAGGGAGGAGTAGTTAGTCCGCTCCATCGCACGCCGGTTCCCGGCCGGGCTCGGAGCCTCTAGCTGTCGCTCGGGGATTTCGCGGGCGGCGGGAGCAGGATGGCTCGCTGGAGTAAACTCCGGGGGGAGGAGGCGGCGGCGAGGGGATGGGGAGGCGGGGTCAGCGGAAGCCGCAGGTTGCTTCCTTCTCCTCGCGCTTCTCCCAGTGGGAGCGGTGGGAGGGGGAGGGCCGGGCCAAGGAAAGGTAGTGACACGTGTCAATCAATCCCCCTCCGGGGGGCGCGCGCTGCGGAGCTCGCGCCCCAGCCTCGCGCCTGCGCCGCTCGTATGTAAATGAGGGCGCGTGACGCGGGACGCAGATGGACCAGGGAAGAGAGGATGGACTCCGCCGCCGTTGCTCAGTGCGGGAGCCACCGGTGCGCGGCGGAGAGGAGAGTATTCCGGCGGGAACTCGACTCCTGGCGCCACCGCCTCATGCACTGTGTAGGTAAGAGAGACCCGGGCTGGGCCGCGGCTCCGCGCGGCGGCGTCCGCCGCGACCCGAGGAGTTTGGGGCTGAGGGGCTGAGTTGAATCTCCCGTTCGGGTCAGTTCAATGGGGGAGCGAGCTGGGAGCGGCGGCGGCGCGGCGGCCCGGGCTCGCCTTTTGTCTGGGGGCTCCCGGCCCGGCGCGGTCCGCGCTCCTTCCCCTTCGGAGCTGTTGGGCTCCCCGGGAACTGTTAGTTCGGACCCGCTCGCCCAGCCCCCGGGGGAACCGCTCGCTCGCGCCGTCCCCCAAACTCCTCGGCGCCTCTCGCCGCCCGGCGTCCGCCCGGTCTGGAGGGAGGAAGCGGCCCCGCGGTCGGCGTCCGGGCGGAGGGGAGCCGGCGGGAGAAAGGCGGGCTGGTCCGCGCCCCCACCGGGCGCACACACACCCCCTTCTCGCCGCCGGGGGCCGGGCCGGCCGCCGCCACCGAGTTCCAGAGGAGGGCATCCCGGGCGACCCCCCGCCCCGCGGCGCTCGCGGGGCCGGGACCTCGGGGGGCCGGCGGGGGGCTCGGGGCAGCGGGGGCGGCGCCCGAGGGGCGGGGGCGCCCTCCTCTGCCCTCGCGCTCGGCGGCGGCGCGGTGTGTGCCCCTTTAAGAAGGAGCCGCTGGAGCGCTGACGGTTGGGATTTGAAGTTCTTCCTCCCTCTTTGGAAGTCTGGACGGCGGGGAGCGGGGGGACTGTTGCCATAGAGATGACACCCGCACCCCCCTTCTCTGTGCGGACGCCCCGGCGACTCTGGTCCTCTTTCGCTGTCATGTGATGGACCCGTCCCCGCACTTACCCGCACGACACCCTCCCCGCCTCCCTCCCGCGTCCTGCTGACCGTCCGTCTTCCCAGTCGGTGGGGTCGGCGTCGTTCGTGCTGCTCAAACTTCTGGGCTCGGAGCTGTCATTCTGCAGGTTGCCGGGGGCGGCGGGAGGTGGCGGGACCTCCGGACCTTCGCCGCCGGCGCTCGCTTTTCTGTCCGAGTGGGACGTGTGCTGGGAGCTGTTCTCCCGCAGGTTGGTGTCCTGGGCAGGAAGGGGGCGACGCGGGGACAGGGACGAGGGGTGCTGTGCGCGTGTGTTTTGGAAGGGGATTTGGGGTGAGAGAGGAAGGGAAGAAGTGTGGGTAGTGGAAGCAGCTGGCTCGGTGGGCGATTAAATCTTGGCACCTGGAGTGGAGGCACTAACCTTCTCTTACTTGTTTCCATCTGTTCTTGCGCCACCTCGAGCCGCCCCCCACCCCCACCCCCACCCTCACCCCCACCCCCACCCCGGTTTGTTCGTTTAGCGTCTGGAGGAAGATCCTTCTTTTTGGCTAGTGAACAGGAGGTCGCAGTAGGATGAACTAGTACAACTTCAACTCAGAGGCGTGCACTGCAGAATACGATGGACATAGGAACTATTACTAGGTGCACTTTTATGTTTAAGCCACTTACTGTTTACCCTTATAAAATAGGTTTTGGTCTTATCTAAGGAGACATTCTGGAAAATAGCTTTGATGGAGTTCTCATAAGTGATTTTAGTTTAAAAAAGTGTAGGAAAACACACACGGTATTCTTTATATAAAATTTTAAAGGTAAGTGTTATTAGTGCTTCCAGAATACAAAATGGACCCGTTTTTATTGGAAAGATCTCTTCTGCCGATAACCTGTTTAGAAATTGGGTTCATTGAATTAGGATCAGGGTAACGGCATTGTAACACTGGCTGGAGACATTGTGCCAAGTTTTCCCCGAGGCACACAATGATTTTACGATGTTTTTGGTCAATTTTAAGTTTTTGAATCCTTTGAGGTTTTTATCCCCTCATCTTTTTGCTTATGTGGGTACATTAAGTATGCTCTGTATTTAAAAATATATGTGATTTTGAAAAATAGTCAAATTTTAATTAAATACAAAATTAATTGAATTTCATGGGAAAAAGGACTTTCTGCCTTACCTACTTGGGTACTGAAGTAGGATTGGGAAACATTGAAAATTGAGTTCATGCTGTTATGTCTAACATGCAATCTCTGTATTACATTTTTAATGTAATATATAATTATACCATATTAGAAAGGAAATGTTTAACTGGGCTCTAACTATATTGCGAATTTTCCCCCACAGTCCCAGCCTTAGTCAGGAGACCTAGTAAGACCCGTCTCATACTTTTGTTTTTGCATTGTTATTTTTATTTTATTTTTTTAATTTTTTAAATACATCTTTATTGATTTCAGAGAGGAAGGGAGAAGGAAAGAGAGATAGAAACATCAATGATGAGAGAGAATCATTGATTGGCTGCCTCCTGCACATCCCCCACTGGGGATAAAGCCCGCAACCCAGGCTTGTGCCCTTGGCTGGAATCGAACCTGGGACACTTCAGTCCGCAGGCTGACGCTCTATCCACTGAGCCAAACCAGCTAGGGCGCATTGTTATTTTTAAATAAACAATGAAACTCTCTTAAACAAGAAATTCACTTGTTGCTTGGGTTTTTGTTTTTTTCAGTACCCTATATGTGAAGCATCTATTCATAGTGTGAATTGGGATTACATGTAGTTTGTGTACTTATTTCAATTTATCTTTTGCTATTAATGTGCTTACATTCAATATTTCACGTTATAAACATTTGCAAACCGACATTCTTTTTCCTTTGCATGTTTGTATCTGTGTGTATATATATGTGTATATATAAATTTCCGTATTGCATATCCAGTGCTCTTACGACTTGAAATCGTTTTTATAAAATATGATCCTTTCTGCCATTGGGGGAGAAAATTTTTCAAAAGTGTTATTTTTAAATAAGGAAATTGTAAGCAATGTCTTAGGATTGTACCACAAGTTAGTATTAATCCAGTCGTAATGTTTTAAATCTCAATTCCTAGAATAAGTCTTTCATTTGATTCACTTATAACATATATAATATTCTACTTTTATGGGGGGAAAGTTCATCATCCTTGTAGTTAGCCAAGATGTACCAAAACACCACATTTCTGAATTCAGTTGAGTTAGCCACACTTGGAGTTGGAGAGGCTTCATTGATAGAGATTAAGATACTTCAATTGTGTGGCACAAGTACCCCAGGCATTTCAAAACAAATAGATGTTAATGAGGAATGGTATTATTATAGGTGCTTTTTAAGAAGACCTAGAATTTTTGAGCCAGGCAAAATAAGGAATGGAGAAGGAAAAGAAGGAGAAGCCTATAGAGGCAAAGAAAAAGGAATGAACAGAGTGTTTTGGGAATAGAGTTGAGACAGTTGAGACAGCCCTCTCTACCTTACTGGAGTAGAGGGTATACTAGTGGTAAAAGAAGCTATGTAAAGTGGAATAACCTTAAAATTTATTTTTTTAGTCTTTCATTTTTAAAAATAGTATTTCTTCTAATTTCTACCTGTACATATAGAAGTTGATTTCACCTATCAGGGAGGGGATTAAGATCATCTGATAAACTCTTTTATAAATCTCATATTTATATGAACACTAGTGGCCCGGTGCATGAAATTTGTGCACATTAAAAGGGGATTAATTAGAGGAAATATTTTAATATTGCTATTTGCCCTTTCTCTATAATAGAAGTGTCAGAGATGAAAGAAAATTAGTAAAATGTATATGAAAATCCTCCTCTTGTCAGAGTCTGGGGCACACTGCGGGACTCAGAGTCAAGTCCCTGCACACCCGCGGCGCCTTAAAATTGCGCGAGACCCAAACCCAGCCGGCCCCACCCTTGTCAAGCCCTGCTGGGAGTGGGCACAGCCTCAGGTCCCCCGTCAAGCCCCATTGGGCAGGACGCAGCCTCAGGTCTCCCAGCCCAGCGCTGAGTGGGGGGGTGCAGCCTCAGGTCCCCCGGTGTACACGGGGCAGGGAGCACAACCTCAGTTTCCCCAGCACACCCTCAGGTCCTCCGGTGCTGGGGCGGGGGGTGCAGCTTGAGGTCCCCAGGCCCGAGCCAGAGGGCGTGTCTTGAGGGCCCCTGGCCCAGTCCAGGGGACATGGCCTGAGGTCCCCTGTCAAGCCCCGCCAGGTGGGGGGCGCAGCCTCAGTCCCCTGACCTGGCACTGGGGTGGGGTGTGCGGCCGGAGGTTCCTCGGGCCAGGGCAAGGGGGTGCGCCTTGAGGTCCTCTGTCAAGCCCTGCATATCGGGGGGCACAGCCTTAGGCCCCCCCGGCCTGTTGCTGGGGCAGGGGCGCAGGCTCAGGTCCTCAGTCTGGGGCGCGGGTTGCAGCCTCAGCCCAGAACCGGGGCCAGGGGGCTGCACCCTGAGTTCCCCCTTCAAGCCCTGCCAGGCGAGGGGCACGGCCTCAGATCTCCTGGCCCGGAGCTGGGGTGGGGGTGTGTGGCCTGAGGTTCCTCAGCCTGGTGCCGGGGCCAGGGGAGCAGCCTGAGGTCCCCTGTCAAGCCCCACCAGTTGGGGGACGCAGCCTCAGGTCCTTGCTGATTGCTTGTTAAGGCTCTTTATGGGAACTCGGCCTCCACTGTGTGTGCTGCCATCTTGCGTTACTGAATCCCTGCCTCCCCTGTGGGCGCAGCCATCTTGACCATTATGGCATGACAGCAATTTGCATATCCCTTTATTAGATAAGATATCACATTTTCCTTATATTTGTCTCTTTATCCTTTTAGTCTCAAAAGCGTTTTTTCCCACATACAGTTTTTCTGTGTAGTCTGTATCATGATTTTGCTTTCAAATCATTGTTCTATCCGATACAAAAAGCTTTTTATTTTTGAGAATCGTGGAATTTTTATTATGCTATGAGCATGTAGACAGCTACAGTGGGCCCTTGACTTACAAATGTCCTGACTAACGAGTTTTTCGAGATATGAGCCATCTCTTGGCCAATTTTTTGCTTTGAGTTGTAAGTTAAAATTCGGGTTACGAACCAGCTTCAGATACCCCACCGCTAGTTGGCGCAGTGAATGTCACAGTGACCGCCACAAATTCAGCCCAGCATTCAATTCATTGTGATGGTGAAAATTGATTTGACATACGAGTAATTTGAGTTACGAGCTCCGTCATGGAACAAATTAAACTCATAAGTCAAGGCACCACTGTAATTACCTTTCTTTTTTTTTTAAGTAGAGCTAAATCGTTTTGTTTTTTTACTTTTTTTTCTTTATTGATTAAGGTATTACATATGGGTTCTTATCCTACTATTGTCCCCCCACCCCACCCCACCCCACCCCACCCCACTCATGCTCTCACCCCCCGGTGTCTATGTCCATTGGTTAGGTTTATATGCATGCATACAAGTCCTTTGGTTGATCTCTCCCCCTCTCCGCCCTCCCCTACCTTCCCTCTGAGGTTTGATGATGCTTCTCTGTCTCTGGATCTGTTTTTGTTCATCAGTTTATGTTGTTCATTGGATTCCACAAATGAGTGAAATCATGTGGTATTTATCTTTCTCTGACAGGCTCATTTCGCTTAGCATAATGCTCTCCAGTTCCATCCATGCTGTTGCAAATGGTAAGAATGCCTTCTTTTTTACAGCAGCATAGTATTCCATCGTGTAGATGTACCACAGTTTTTTAATCCATTCATCTGCTGATGGGCACTTAAGCTGTTTCCAAATCTTAGCTATGGTAAATTATGCTTCTATGAACATAGGGGTGCATATATCCTTTCTGATCGGTGTTTCTAGTTTCTTGGGATATATTCCTAGAAATGGGATAACTGGGTCAAATGGGAGTTCCATTTTTAGGTTTTTTGAGGAAACTCCATACTGTTCTCCACAGTGGCTGCACCAATCTGCATTCCCACCAGCAGTGCACAGGGGTTCCTTTTTCTCCACATCCTCGCCAGCACTTGTCATTTGTTGATTTTTTGATGATAGCCATTCTGACAGGTGTGAGATGGGACTGCATTGTCATTTTGATTTGCATCTCTCGGACGATTAGTGACTTTTAGCATGTTTTCATATGTCTAATTACCTTTCCCTATTAAATTTACTGATGACTTTGACACCTGAGTTTTAGTCTTCCATCTTTACTCTAAACCCTGACCATTATTCATGATTGACTTTAGTTTGCTTGTTTGTTTTTTTAAGGATGAACCCTTCAAGTCATCTACTGACCTTTAACTTTCTCTGCTGCAGAAACTATCCGTTATGCCTTTTCTTTAAAAAAAAAAAATTAGCAAGGTTTATTAACATATAATTTAGAGAATACAATTCTATGAGTTTTAACACACAAACAATTGGATAACCAATTTCTCAATAAACAAGATATAAAACAGTTCCATTATCCCTAAAAGTTGTTTTGTGATTCTTCATAGTTATTTCTTTCCCTACGTAACGTGGCACTAGCAACCATTGGTCTGCTCTGACTCTATAGTTTTGCTTTTCCCAGAGAATAAATAAGTGAAATCATTAGGTATATGCTTTTGAGTCTGGTTTTTTCATTTAACAATATGCATTTGATATATATCCATGTTGTTGCATGTATCAGTAGTTTGTTCCTTTGGCTATGTAGTATTCCATTATACCAGTTTGTTTTTTCATTCAATGGTTGAAGGACATTGGATTGTTTCCAGTTTGGAGTAAATATGACTGAAACTCTATGAATACTTGTGTATAGGTGTTTGTGTAAGTGTAGTTTCCATTTCTGTTTGGTAAATATTTAGGAGTGGGATTGTTTGATCATGTGGTAGTGCATGTTTAAATTACTAGAAATTGTCAAACTTTTCTAAAATGGTTGTGTCATTTTGCATTCCACCAGCAATTTATGAGAAATCCAATTTAGTAAACTTGTATAAGGTTAGGCTATATATTTTGTTCAATATACAATAGAATGACATCTTAAAATAGTTTGTTTGCATTGTTAATTTTTGGAGTCCATTGATCACAGCATAATAGAACTAGATTATCTTAGTAAAAGAAAGAGATTTGAGGCTTTTTCGCTCTGAGGTTTTACCCAGTAGGAAAGTCTTTTCGATAGTGTTCTTGAAAGTGTTCTCTGGTTCTAGTTCATTTACTTTTCTGCCTGGAATGTCCACTCATGAGAACTAGTACTGAATCATTTCACAAAGATTTTATTAAGTGCATATTTCCTAAGTTCCATGATAACTACTTTGTCAAATCTAAGACATCATAAGTTACTAGGGGCCCAGTGCACAAGTTCATGCACCTGAAAGGAACTGTGGACCATGAGGCTGTGGTAGGCACAGGGGTGGGTCTCAGCCCATCCTCTGTGCCCCCGCCCAGCCCCTCCTGCCGTGGCCCCCGGTCACCTGTCTGCCCACAGCCCCACTCCCACCGCCACCACTCCCACACGCTGATGGCACTGGCCCTGGTCATACCTGCTGAAGGCACTAAGCAGTTGGGGCCGGCTCCAGCAGCAGGTGCAAATGGCAGCTGCTGGCCTGATCACCCCTCAGGAGCAGGGGGAGGTGGAGAAGCCGTGAGGGACGATTGGTGCCGGCAGCTGCCAGTCACTACTGCTGATGGCACCGAGCGATCGGGACCTGCGCTGGGTGCTGGCAGTGGTTGTGAGCAGCAGCTCTGGCGCCAGTCATGGGTACAAGCGCCGGGCGGGACCACAGAGCATGGGAGTAAAGAATTTTCAGTAACCACCAGAGGCTCACCCTCTGCCTTAGTCTGGCGCCCCTACTCACCTGCTCCACCATCCCGCTGCAGCTGACAGCCACCTGTTCTGCACACACCCCCTGGTGTCATAGGGACCGGTTGTTCCGCCATTTGGTCTATTTGCATATTAGCCTTTTATTATATAGGATAAGATGTATCATTTCTTCATGTTCTATGTCACTTTTTTTTGTTTTGTTACTCTGACACATCGACTTGAATATGCATCTTGATTATAGAGATGTTAACATGTCTTTTTAAAGCGTGATTTATGGAACATTTCTAGAGTAGTATTTCTGCATTTTTACAATTTAGGACTATCACTGAGAAAATATCCTTTATCTTTCATTTTTCAGATCTATCATTCTACTTTAATATTTTCCCTCCCTAATTTAAGCATTCTTTAAGTAGCTCCTTTTCTTAATTTCCCAGTTATTTTGCCATTCTGGTCATTTTCCTTTGGATGCCTTGTAGTTTATAAAAAAACTGCTTAAAATTTAATATAATACAGATTTCAAAAAGAAAATTGCAAAATCTTAAAATTAGTATATCCAGAAAGTAGGACACTATGTAAGTTCGTGAACGAGGTTTTTAACTTGACAAGATTTTCAATAATTTTTTAAAATAGTCCATACCCATGAATAAATTATTTTCATGATTTTTACAAGTAGGTTAACATTTTATACCTTATATTTTTTTTAATCCTCACCCGAGGATATGTTTGTTGATTTTAGAGAGGGGTAAGGGAAGGGGGGGGAAACAGGGGGGAACATCGATGTGAAAGAGAAACATCACTTGATTGCCTCCTGTAGGCGCCCCTACAGGGATCAAACCCACAGCCTAGTTATGTGTCCCAACCTGGAATTGAACTGCAGCCTTTTTGGTGCCCTGGATGATGTTACTACCAACTGAGCCACCTGGCCGGGGCCATCATACTTTTCATAGCAAGAATTTCTCTCCACTGGCACTCATTTACTCATTTTGGTAATTGAGGTTCAAGATGCTACTTTTTATAAACTAAAATAGGTTGTTAACAAATATAAACAGAATTATACATCTTTTCTAGTTATTTTTCTCCTCTCGACAAAATTATTACAAAAGAAATCTGCCCAGAATAATTTAACCTGGGAATATTTCTAAATGACAAAAATGTTTACCTGTTTTAGTAGTGAACATTTACATTTGAATGTTTCTTTATAATCATGTAATTTCTGATAGTTATTATATGACTGTTTATTATGTTATGTATTTCCTAGTTCAAATTAATTCAACTAAAGGAAAAATGACACCTTATAGTATGTTAAGTTTATAATTTGCTGATTCCTATAGAGTTTATGGTTTTTTGTTATTGTAAAATTAAGCTTTCTTTCATAGTTAATATTCTTTTCTTTCTTTAATAACACAGGTTTTGAGAGTATTTTAGAAGGGCTTTATGGACCACGGCTACGAAGACACCTCAGTTTATTTGAAGGTAACGTTTTATTTCAAAATTTTAACCTTCTGTCCCATTTAACAAATGAGAAATGGATGTTCTACACTAACTTTATACTAAACATGAATTTGTGTTTTGTTTAATTAAAAATATTTTAAATGAATACATAAGTGATCCAAATATTCCTATTATTACATAATATTATAATCTTTAAAAATTTTAGATACTGATTCAAAATTGTAAATGAAGTTTGTTTTGGCTCAGTGGTAAAATTTGATTTTTGTCATTTTATACATTACATTCCCTGACTTATTCTTAAAGAGGACTTAAAAGGATTCAGTTGCCTGTTGCTTATGATACAGGCATTCTAGAACTTAGATTGTCACTCTGAGAAATCCTGCCACATATGTGTTCAGAGTTTTCTATTTATGTGTAGCCTCCTCTATTTATTATAGCCCACCCTTCCAAATATTGTTGCATAAATCCTGGTATAAGATTTTGATCTGTATTATAATTGCTGTGGTAGCATAGTTTAGCTGTTTTACTGCTTGCTTGGAAACCTAGAGCACTAGGAGAGAACATTTTTGTAGGCATGCGAAAGTTTATAGTACAGTTCATTTACAAAATGGGTAATGCTAGAATAGATTTTCTAGTTTGATTTTGATTGAATTATTTCTGTATCTTGTCACTTTTCAATGCTAACTCTTTTACCTTCTGCCCTACTCTGGTACCTTTCTTTCTGTTAAGACCAAAGTCCTATCTAGTAGACTTAAAGGCCCTTCCCTCTGTGTATGTAAGTCTGTTGAGTTGAGGTAGTTACAGTGATAGTTGGTGTAGTCAAAAGTTTTCTGCTCATTCTTTGTTAATGTTGAGGAGGATGATTGAGCTATGAATCATAGAGCTGACAGTATCTATGCAAGATCATTTGTCCCAACCACCCATCTTCAATCAGATGAATGATATCCATGCAGAACATGACAATAAGGATCAAGATTCCAAAATATTCCCATTCCAATATTTTATCATTCTTATGGCTAAGATCTTTATCTTCTTATCTTTTAAACTTTCAACATCTCTCACTGTGTCATAGCTTAACACTGAATTAAATATTTTTACCTGTTATAAGCAAAACTGACTATAGTTTCACCTTTTTTTTCTGAGCTTATAAATAAAGGAAAAATCTAAGAAATAAGAGTTTAACCTATGCTTGGTATTTCTCCAGCCTGCTGTTTTTCATTCATGTCAGAAGGCAGCATTATACTTAATTGCTTTCTGATAACCCAAAGTCCAGCTTGTGATTTTTAGCCTCTTGCTTTCATTTATTTACATATATAGTTCTGAATATATGTATGAATTTATGTTCCTTCAGAAATTAGTTATTACACAAAGGACAGAATGTTCTAAGGAAATAAATACATGTATTGTGTTTTTTGACGATTATTTCTTTTGTGTACAAATAACACATGTTCATTTTAGGAAATTAGAATATATAAATGAGCCCAAAAGTAAAAAATCAGTCCATGACCCACAGATAACCTTTAACATTTTTATAATTAAGTTTAAATGTAGGTGTGATGCCGGGAGCCGGTCCATGCTTACTGTTTCAAGGGACCTGGCATATATGGCATACTGTTTTTAATATGTTTGCTCACCTTCTTGGCACTATGTGTTTTAACCAAGGTCTCTGAGAAAGGTTGTTTCCCCAGGTAGGGATTTTCCCCTGAAGTTAGGGAGGGAATAAAACCTCTTAACTAGTGCCAGGTGGGTAATTAATCACTTTAACTATGAACAGTCATGCTTAAGCTACATAATCTTTACTCCCTGGAATGGAGATAAGAAACGCCCTAACCTTTGTAATAGAGATTGATAGGATTGAATCATCTGGTATAAATACAGATGTAATAAGACAGCAAGAGACAGAACTTAGAATACGGAACCAAGAGAGCCAGAACTTAGAACACAGAACTTAGAACACAGAACTTAGATTGAGAGAACATGGCAAAAGATCCTGGACTGAACCTGACTACAGAAATTGGCAAGAGAACCTGACTAGAACCTGGTGACTGAACCTGGCTGGAGAACCTGGACTGAACCTGGCTGGAGAACTTGGACAGAACCTGGCTGGAGAACCTAGCGAGGGAACATGGCTACAGAACCTGGCTGGAGAACCTGGACTGAACCTGGCTGGAGAACTTGGACAGAACCTGGCAGGAGATCCTAAGCAGAACCTCTCTGGAGATCCAGATCAGAACTTCGCTGGAGATCCAGACCAGAACTTGGCTGGAGATCCTGGCTAGAGATCCTGGCTAGGCTGCTGATCAACTGAACGCTGTCTGTGTGTCATTCCTTCTTCGCCGACTCCATCCACACCTTTGGGGACCCCTGGACCTGCTGGGGTTGGACCCCGGCAGTGTGATAGTACAGGAGTTAAAATAGACTGGTAATTCTACCTTGTTAATAGCTTTTGCATGATGTTTGTAGTTTATTATTTCACTTTTTTTTTCATTTGATCCACAAATAAGTTAAGTAATGGTGGGATCCTTATTTTATAGGTGTGGAAATTTAAAAAAACAAAACTTTACGGCTTGACTATTTACAGCTAGTAAGTTCAAGTCCTAGATTTTCATAGACTTCAAACACAGTTTTCTTTCCTTTATTCTGTACTGGATCTTATGTTCCTATTTGCTGCCTTTTCCAAGTTCAGATAAATAGCAGGAATATTTCTGGACCACTGCCAAAAATCAAGGGAAGCTATCACTACACTTTATATTCCAAAAATTATATTGTCTTCTATGTATTATCTTCAAATGTGTGTTTGGATTGATGCAAGAGTATTGTAAGGGCTGATTCTAACTAAATTTTGCTCATAATCACTTCAAAAACAGATAAGTCTATTTTCTGTCTAGTTTACCAGAAACATGTTAAACTTCATTATGTATTCAAAAGTATGAGAGTAAATTACTGTGGTACACCAGTGCTTTTCAAATTAGTCCTAGTGTAACTGCCTCAGATTGATAATGGTTGCTTTATGGTTTGAGGCTCTTCATATGAAGTTATTTGGAAAAAGAAATTGGCAGGTGGCGGGGGCTGGGGGGCAGTTCTTTTACAGGGAGTAAGTTTCAAAAATCACTGTCTGTACTAAGTATAGTTGGGAGGACAATGTTATATCTTCAGAAAACCTTTCATCACAAAATGTTCGTTTCCCACAAATATTCTATATTATAGTAATCTAATCTAATAAAAGACAAACATGGTAATTAACCGTAACCTCCGACAGGCTTCACATTGGCTAATCAGGGCGATATGCAAATTAACTGCCCAGAAAGATGGCGGTTAACCACCAAAAAAGATGGCAGCACACATAGGCGCAATGCTGGGAGGCAAACTGGGAAGGACGGAAGAAGCTGCCTGCTGCTGACGGTTATTGGAAACCAAGGCGGCAGGCAAGAACCGGGCAGCCTTTGCCCGGCCCCCCAAGCATAAATGGAGAAGCGGGGGCCTTTGCCCCGCCCCTCAGGCATGATCGGAGAAGTGGAAAAGCCGGGGCCTTTGTCGGGCCCCCCCAGGCATGATCGGAGAAGCGGGGGCCTTTGCCCGGCCCCCAAGGCATGATCAGAGAAGCAGGGGCTTTGGCCCGGCCCCCGAGGTGTGATCGGAGAAGCAGGGGCTTTGGCCCCGCCCCCAGGTGTGATCGGAGAACTGGGGCGCTTTGCCCCGCCCCCCAGCATGATCGGAGAAGTGGGGGCCTTTGTCCGGCCCCCCAGGCGTGATCGGAGAAGGGGGGGGCCTTTGACCGGCCCCTCAGGCGTCATCGGAGAAGAGGGGGACTTTGCCCGGCCCCTAGGCAGGATTGGAGAACCGGGGGGGCTTTGTCCCGCCTCCCAGGCGTGATCGGAGAACCGGGGGGCTTTGCCCCGTCCCCCAGGCAGGATCGGAGAACCGGGGGGCTTTGCCCCGTCCCCCAGGCATGATTGGAGAACCGGGGGGCTTTGCCCGGCCCCCCAGGGTGATTGGAGAAGCGGGGGCCTTTGCCTGGCTCCCCAGCCATGATCAGAGAAGCGGGGGCCTTTGCCCGGCCCCCCAGGTGTGATCGGAGAAGCTGGGCGGGGCAGGGAAGAGGCAGCACTGACACCTAAGTAGATTGCAAGGACCTTTTAAACTGTGCGGGTAAAACCCCGTGAGACCAGGTCCTGATGCCCACATAGATTGAACTGCAAACCCCCTGAGACCAGGTCCTAGCTGCCACATAGATCGCGAGCACCTTGCAAACTGCACTGGTAAAACCCCATGAAAATAGGTCCTGACTACCAGGTAGATCGCGAGCACCTTTCAAATGCAAACGCCATGAGAACGGGTCCTGGCTGCCATGTAGATTGGGAGCACCTTGCAAACTGCATGGGTAAAACCCCATGAGAATGGGTCCTGACCACCAGGTAGGTAGCGAACATCTGTCAAACTGCAAACCCCATGAGAACAAGTCCTGGCTACCACCTAGATCGCGAGCACCTTTCAAATGCAAACCCCATGAGACCAGGTCCTGACTGCCACGTAGATCGCAAGCACCTTTCAAACTGCAAAGCCCATGAGACCGGGTCCTGGCCGCCATGTAGACCTCGAGCACCTTTCAATCTGCAAACCCCATGAGAACAGGTCCTGACCGCCAGGTAGATCGCGAGCACCTTGCATACTGCACGGGTAAAACCCCATGAGAACGGTCACATTTGTAATACCTTAACTAATAATAAAAAAATAATAAAAATAAATAAATAAATAAAAAAACAAACAAACAAACAAAAAAAACCCCATGAGAACGGGTCCTGACCACCAGGTAGATCGCGAGCACCTTTCAAACTGCAAACCCCATGAGAATGGGTCCTGACTGCCAGGTAGATCCTGAGCACCTTTCAAATGCAAACCCCATGAGACCGGGTCCTGGCCCCCACGTAGATCGAGAGCACCTTGCATACTGCACGGGTAAAACCCCATGAGACCAGATCCTGACCGCCCACGTAGATCAAACTGCAAACCCCCTGAAACCGGGTCCTAGCCACTACGTAGAAAACTCCATAAGACCGGGTTCTAGCCACCACTATGTGGGTAAAACCCATGAGACTGGGTCCTGGCCTCTATGTGTGCTGCCACATAGATCTTGGGGGGCCAGCAGCTGCCTCTTCCCTGCCTCCCTCCTCGTGTCCCACGCCGGTGATCAGAGAAGTACCTGTATTTTTTTTCAAAGTACCTGTATTTTTAATAATTTCTTGACAATGTAAAAGAATTTTACATTATGACCCAAGGGTGGTGGGGTGAGGAGAAGGAGCAGCAGAAAAATCCAACAAACAAAAAGGGAAACAGAAATGCATGGTGGAAGGGATTTGAAGGGTGGGTAGGGGCATTGCCCAACTAAAATGCAATTGGTTTGTTACTGAGTACTATTCATGGGAAGACAGCATCCTGACTCCTTCTCTATACAGAATATTGGGAGTAAATATGATGCATCCAGGTGGGAATATGATTGGGGGTTGGAAGACAGACAGGGAAAGAAGTCATAAATAGACACTAAGAGAGTTACTGGCTTGCTGGATGCAAATACTGAGTCTCCAATAGTGATAGAATAAAAAAGTGGGGGATATCTCTGGAAGATTCAAGAGATAGGGGGCAACTCTTCTGTGGTTTTGACTTGCCCAGCAGATTTCCACATACACACATGTACACGCCTATGTTTGCATGCACACACATATACACATAACCGACTGACCTCCCTGGAAGCACAGAAGAAGAAGCCGCCCACCTTTGGTCCTGGCGCCAGCACCTGCGGCTGGCTGCAGCCCAGGAGACGGACAAGCCACCCACCTGAGGTCCCAGGCTGCAGCCACCCAGAGAAGCTGCCAGCCCTGTGGTCCAAGGCACCAGCGCATGTGGCCAGGGAAATAGGTTCCCTCTTCTCTGACTGCAGTCATTACTTCAATATTCCCTTTCTGAATTTCTCTCCTGTGCTGCAACCCAACTCCACTTTTCATCAGAAGGATATGGAACAGAGAGAGCAGTGTTAAAAGCTTACATTTTTAAGCCGGTAAGGTTGGTACTTAAACATATACATGGAAAACTAGAGTCTTCCTTAAGGTCACAAAGGCTCCAAAGGACAAGGACAGCGCATGACCTATTACATCCAGCAATCCATATAGGGACTGAAAACTTTGCAATGATGACAATTACTGAAGATATGAATCAACTAAAATAGTTGACAGGGACAATTCTTCCATCTTTGAAAATATCTACATCAAATCTGTTTAAATAGATTTGCATCTGCATAACATAACACATTCTGACAAGACCACCACCACCACCACCAATGTGGTCAGTGTTGTGCCAATAAATGTTTAATAACTGAGGGACACCACCCCTCCCCGAGTGCACAAATTTTTGTGCACTGGGCTACTAGTCCTATATATTAAAAGAGAAACATGCAAATTAACAGCCCCTCTGCTATGCTCAAGCCACGCCCACAACCCAATCAGGAGCAAGTATGCAAATTAACCCAACTAAGATGGCGGCGGCCACAGAGCTGGAACGAGGAGGAGGCTTGGGTTGCCCCCGGCGATGGAGGAAGCCAAGCTTCCCACCAGCCCTGGCCAGCCCTCACCTCCACTCAAGGCCACAAAGTTTCAATTATAGAAGATAAATAAATGCCAGGGGGGGAAAAAAGGAGAGGCTGGGAGCTTGAGTCGCCGGGAGGCATGGCCAGCCTGAAAACAGCCATCAGCCCCTCACCCAGGCTGGCCACACCCCCATGGGGTGAGGGTCCCCACTGAGGGGCTTGGCCAGCCTGCAAACAGCCATCAGCCCCCTAGCCAGGCTGGCCAGGCACCCCAGTGGGGACCCCCACCCTGAAGGGGGTGTGGCCAGCCTGAAAATGGTCCCCAGTCCCTCACCCAGGCTGGCCAGGCACCCCAGCGGGAACCCAACCCTGATCTGGGACACCCTTCAGGGCAAACCAGCCAGCCCTCCACCCGTGCACTAGGCCTCTATCCTATATAATAAAGTTATATAGGATAATAGTAATTATCCTATATAATAATATGCAAATTGACCCTAACAGCAGAACGACTGGGAATGACTGGTCACTATGACACACGCTGACTACCAGCGGCAGATGCTTAATGCAGGAACTGCCCCCTGGTGGTCAGTGCACTCCCACAGTGGGAGCTCTGCTTAGCCACAAGCCAGGCTTGTGGCGGGAGCCTCTCCCACCTCCTCAGCAGTGCTAAGGATGTCCGACTGCAGCTTAGGCCTGCTCCCCGCTGGCAAGTGGACATCCCCCGAGGGCTCCTGGGCTGCCAGAGGGATGTCTGATTGGCAGCTTAAGCCATCAGGTGGACATCCCCCGAGGGGTCCCAGACTGCAAGAGGGCACAGGCCGGGCTGAGGGACCCCCCCCCCCCACCCCTCCAGTGCACAAATTTTTGTGCACTGGGCCTCCAGTTGAATTATAAAGGACCATTCTTCTGGGGGGGGGGGGAAAGTCATGTTGTGTGTTGAATAATATAACTTGTTTACCTGGTTTTTGCTCTAACTCTTGCAACAAGCCTTTAAACAATGTAATAAAAATCTGGTCTGACTTTTTAGCTGTGGATTTCTACTTTTATCTTGGACAGCATTCCATGTTCTCAAATCTTTGGGCTTTTCTGGTGCTTTATTCCATTTCTGTTTTTTATGTTGTCTTTCATAATATGCAGAATTTATTCCTTTCCCCCATATTTCTTTGTTCTGATTTATTTCATAGTGAAAATAAAAAATTAATAGGCAGTGATAAATTGAATCTTGCAGAGGCTATATGAACCTTATTGCTAGAAAATTAATTTATAACCGGCTCATTGTTCTTGCTACTTTATCCCCTAATAGTGCAAAAATACTCTCCTTACAGCCTTCTCTGTTTATTTCTTTCTAGATGTCACCAGTTTAATTTAGGTGTTTTCCCCTTACTGTTAGTAGCTAGTTTTTTTACATGAGCCATTGCTCTGGAGAGTGGTATTTTTATTTATTTTAATAAAGTTAGTGTATTTAATGAATATTTTTCCCTCTTTTAAAGACTGTGAGCCAGAAGAACTGACTGACTGGTCTATGGATGAAAAATGTTCACTTTGTAACCTACAAAGAGAAGCAGTCAGTGTAAGTTTCAGTGCTATGAAATTATTTCTAAACTATTTGCACAATTGTAACACAATTTTTAAACTTAATTTGTTTTGAAACTTTGTGACTTATAGTAGAATATAAATACTTGATTTTTGGTAATGAGAAGAAAATTAAAGTCTCATGTTAGAAGTCTAACATTTAGCTTATCTAGTAGGTGAAAATCCCAAACTACTCATCTTTCTTGCTTATTTCACATTTCTTTCTCATAGCTCCCTAACTCATGAAATCAGTTCAGATCTGTTTGTATTTTCATAGACAAGGCTGATGATCTTGGAGGCCTGGTTTGGTCTGAGACCATCCTACAGGCTGATTTCTCAGGAATCAGTAGTTGGAGGATAATGTGGTACTACATTTTAACTTTCTTCTTTCTCTTGAAGTCTTTTGGGTATCGTAATCATCTCCTGTGTAAATTATTAAAATATTAGTGTCTACTCTAAACAGGGTATAAACTAGACAAGCAGCAGCATCTTGTATGGTTGGATCTTAATTCTTTACGTACTGTTGTGAGAGGGCTGAGAGGAAATGAGAACTCAAGAACCTGTACCTATTTTGGTCAGATTAGTAGGTAAACATAACTGCTTTGTTGTTAAAATTCTCATTGCTGGCATGTTATATAGTGAAATTATTCAGCAATATATCTTATCTGCTCTTCCCTCTTTTTTGATTATAGTTTTGCTAAAAAATAAGGCTAAGTTGGCCCTCTGTTAGAGCTAAATTTCTTTTTTCCTGACTCCTGTTTCAAATTTAATATTCTCTATACAATTTGACATATTTAAAAGATAGAACAAATGAGCATTTAGAGAGTTAAATTTTTGCCATTTTTAATGGAATCCCACAGTTAAAAAGTGATTTTTTTAATGTTGGTGTTTTTTTATATATATATAATTTTAGGATTGTATACCATCTCTTGATTCTTCACAGTCAACACCAACAGAGGAACTATCATCTCAGGGCCAGTTCAACACTGAAAAGATTGAATGCCAAGCAGAAAATTACCTAAATGCACTCTTTCAAAAGAAAGGTAATGTTGGTACACATTTTTTATGCTTCTGGTGTTCCTTATTTTGTTGCTGTTTTCAAGACTTCAGATGTTCTTTCATGTTTAATAAGTGATAGATATATTACATTGCAAAACTATCTTTAGAATAAATTAAGCATTTATCAGCTGTTTCTTTGGTAGCTTGAGTATGCTTACTTGACATTAAAATGTCAGTATTCTTTTTAATCCCTGTTTATCTAAACTATATATAGTGGGGCCTTGACTTACGAGTGTCCCGACTAACGAGTTTTTCGAGATACGAGCTGTCTCTTGGCCGATTTTTTGCTTTGAGTTGCGAGCTAAAATTCGGGTTACAAGCCAGCTTCAGATACCCCACCGCTAGTTGGCGCAGCGAACGTCACAGTGAACGCCACAACATCAGCCCAGCATCACGTGTCTCACTCGTTCACTTTAAGCGGTTAGCTCTTAGTTGAAGCATCAGTGTTGTGCTCGCATTTGTGCTTGCAGTTATTTTGCAAAACTTCGTTTTTTCAACCATGGATCTGAAGAAAGTAAGTGCGAAGGACAGTGCTGAGAAGAAGAAGCGGATGATGTGCATTGAATTAAAGAAAGAAATTATCGAAAAACATGACCAAGGTGTGCGTGTAATCGACTTGGCGAAGCAGTACGAGCGCAGCACTTCTACAATCTGCACCATACTGAAGCAAAAGGAGTCGATACAGGCTATAACTCCAGCCAAGGGCGTTAAAATAATTTCTAAACAGCGGACATCTATCCATGAAAATATGGAGAAGCTGCTAATGGTGTGGTTAACGGAGAAGCAGCTCGCAGGAGATACCGTGACGAAGGCTATTATCTGCAAGAAGGCGCGAGCTATTTACGCTGATTTGCTGCAGCAGACCCCAGGCACGTCAGTGGACGAGGCATCAGGCGAGCCATTTAAAGCCAGTCGGGGCTGGTTCGAAAATTTTAAAAAGAGGACTGGCATTCACTCCGTTGTCAGACATGGTGAGGCAGCGAGCGCGGATATAAAGGAAGGTGACATCAAGGAGCTCATCGAGGAGCACTCTGAGGAACTGACAACGCAGGAGCTAAAGGAGCTACAGACGCAGCAGCACACGGAGGTTTTGCAGGAAATAGATGACACGGAGGAGGAGGAGGAGGAGGAGGAGGAGGTTATCTCTATAAGTGAGATAAAGGAAATGTTGGGAATGTGGGAGAAACTTTCAGACTATTCAAAAGAAACACCCAGAAAAAATTGTAACTGGGCGTGCTATGGAGCTATTTAATGACACTTGCCTAACTCATTTCAGAAATATTCTGAAAGGGAGGATGAAACAGATCTCATTGGACAGGTTTTTATTGAAAACTCCTGTAGATGAAAGTGATGAAAGCGTGGCGAAAAGGGTAAAAATCAGCAAATAAGATTCAGTTATTCAGTTCAGCCTTTCTCCTCCAACTCCATCAGCATCTTTAAGTTGTTTGATCTCCAAGGTAAATGCTGTACGTTAAATTTAATAAAACAAGTTTATTGCACTACATTCTATTCAGTATTGTGTTTTTATACAATATTCGTTATTTTTAAATACATTTTTCTTATTTAAAAACATTTAACAAAACATTTGCGGTGTTTTTTGGGTGTCCAGAACGGATTAATGGCATTTCAATTCATTGTAATAGTGAAAATTGATTTGACATACGAGTAATTTGAGTTACGAGCTCTGTCACAGAACGAATTAAACTCGTAAGTCAAGGCCCCACTGTAAACCAAATGAGTCTTGTTTCATTTGTTACTTTACTTGCTACACATTATCAGGCAGAAGTAGCTTTACATCTTCGTTACCTGGGGAAAATATAGAAATATAGAATCTTCCATTTTTTGTTCTTGGCCATTTCTACAGTAGTAGAGTGTCTTAATTTTCACCACATAGTAAGTCATGGTGTAGAGCAGTGGTCGGCAAACCGCGGCTCGCGAGCCACATGCGGCTCTTTAGCCCCGTGAGTGTGGCTCTTCCACAAAACACCACGTGTGGCGTGCACGTACAGTGCGATTGAAACTTCGTGGCCCATGCGCAGAAGTTGTTTTTCGGCCTGGGCGAGTCTATTTTGAAGAAGTGGCGTTAGAAGAAGTGGGGGGTGTCGGTCAGTCGGCGGGTGGGCGAGGGGAGACGCAGCTCAGGCGGGCCGTGGGATACGCTGCATGGGGGAGGCGCGCGCAATTCATGCATGAGTTGAGTGAGCCAGTCAGTCAGCAGTTGCATCCTTAAATCGCGCGTGGGTGACAAAAGTACCTACTCGAAGCATAAAGTTACCTGTATTTTTCCAACCAGCTGCAAATCCTACAGGTATTTTTGTCATCAGTTTAAGAATTGTAATTATTTTGTGTTGGTGGCTTTATTATTATAAAATGAAACATTTTTTTAGGTGCCCTGTTTGACATGGCTACAAAGAAGAAGCAAAGAAAAACGGAAGACGAAAACCGTGAATTTAAAGTTGAATGGACTGAGACTTTCGCGTTTATTCAAAACTTAAATGGTCTTCCGACCTGTCTTATTTGTCAGGAAAAATTGGCGCATAACAAGAAATCAAATTTGGAGAGACACTTTACAACTAAACACGAGTCATTTAGTACTAAATATCCTGTTGGTGATGCAAGGAAGAAAGCAGTTGAGGAACTTCAGAAGAGTCAAGAAAAATCAAGTTCTGTATTTAATTACTGGATGCAATCTTCCAACAATGTTAATATTGCAAGTTTTGTGGTTATTCAAGAGATTGCTAAGAGAGGAAAACCATGTACAGACGGCGAATACATAAAAAGTTGTTTTATAAATGCATCTGAAGAGCTATTTCGGGATTTTAAGAACAGAGCAGATATTCTTAAAAAAATTACAGAGTTACCATTGTCTGCTAAAACAGTGAAAGATAGAACAGTCCAAATGTCTTCACATATAACCAACCAGCAAGTCGAAGATCTTAAATTGGTTTCAGCTTTATCAATAGCAGTTGAGTCTTGTGACATAAATGATACAGCGCAAATTTCACTTTGTGTACGATTTATTTCATCTACAGGTCCTAAAGAAGAACTTTTAGGATTATTGCCACTCAGAGGTCAAACATGTGGAGAGGATATAGCAAATGCTGTAATTGAGTGCATTGAAAAACATCATATTCCACTCGATAAAATTGTCTCAATTTCAACAGACGGGTCGAAAAGTATGACCGGCGTAAGAAACGGGTTTGTTGCTATTTTGAAAGAAAAAATTAATCACGAGATACTTACTTACCATTGCATCATTCATCAAGAAGCGCTTTGTGTGCAGACATTTCCAGAAGAAATTTGCAAAGTTATGGAATTGGTGATTAAGATTATCAACTCCATTATAGCTAAAGCTCTTAATCATCACCAATTTAAAGAATTTTTAGTTGAAATGGAGAGTGAGTATGCAGATCTTCTACTGCATAACAAGGTACGTTGGTTATCAAGAGGAAATGTTTTAAAACATTTTGCTTCCTTATTAACAGAAATTAAAGCATTTCTCCTTGAGAAGGGTGTTCACTATCCAGAACTAACGAACGATCAGTGGATCCAAAAATTTTATTTCATGGTAGACATTACATCTCATCTAAATCAGCTTAATCGTAAACTACAGGGGAAAGGAAACACAGTTTTTTCGATGTTAGAAGAAGTTATTTCATTTGAAAACAAATTATCTCTTTTTGCTGAAGATTTTGAAAGAGAAACTTTGATTCACTTTCCAAGCCTGTTGAAACATCGCCAAGAAAATAATTCTGATATTGACATCTGCTATTTCAAAACAACACTTTTAAATATGAGGGAAGCTTTTCTGAACAGGTTTCAGGAACTCAGAAACAGCAAAGCAACGTTAGCCTTTGTTAAAAAACCTCTCACTGCTACTGTAACAGAATTAAATTTTTCTCCCTTTAATATTGACATTGGCAACTTTGAAATGCAATTGCTGGATTTAAAAAATAGAGAACTGTGGAGCTCAAAATTTGAACGTCTTTGTGCTGATATAGAAATATTGGAGAAAAACAAATGTGAACTTATTTCACAGCACAAGTGGTCTGCTTTGAAAGACCTGGAGAAGGAGGACATGTTGATTTTTAACACCTGGAATAGTATTCCTGACACATATAATCAACTGAAAAAACTAGCGTTTGCTGTTCTTTCCTTATTCGGGTCTACATATTTATGCGAACAATCATTTTCAAGCATGAACCTTATGAAGACTAAATTGAGAGGTTGTCTTATTGATGAGAACCTGGAATCGTGCCTAAAGTTAAAAACAACAACATACAAACCTGACTTACCCAAACTTTCCAAGGAGATGCAAGGCCATTGTTCACATTAGTGTTTGTCAGTCATTGTCATGATTTAATTTTATGGATATTGTAAGGTAAATTGTAAGGAATTTAATTTTATCAATAAATATTATCGTTATTAAGTATGATATCAAGTTTTATTCAACGTACCTATAGTTTAACTAAGACTTAAAACTTTAACTAAAGTTTATTTAGTTAATTTTAGGGAACGTTGTGGAGTGAAAGAAGATGTAGTGTCGAGGATTGAGAAAGGTATGTTGAGATGGTTTGGACATAGAGAGAGGATGAACGAAAGGAGATAGACGAAACAAGTACACAAGACTGGTGTGGATGGGAGAGTTGGAAGAGGTCAACCTCAGCGAACGTACCTCAATCAGATTGAGGGCGTTTTTAGCAAAGGCCAGCTTAGAAGTACCCTAATTAAGTTAATAACAATGTACCTACCTATATAGTTTAAGTTTAAAAAATTTGGCTCTCAAAAGAAATTTCAATCATTGTACTGTTAATATTTGGCTCTGTTTACTTAGTTTGCCGACCACTGGGTTATATGAATAACATCTGAGGATCTGGGCACATTTATTCATTCAACAAGTATTGGAACTGATCTAGGTGCTGGGAGTAGAGGAATGAGCGAACAGAAAAAAATCCCTGCCCTCCAGAGATTTCCTTCTCTGAGCAGCTGGGGATAACGTGCTGAGAAAGTGTGTGATGGAGCCACTAAACCCTTAGCCCAGCCAAACTCTCACCCTGATGGTGACCTCAGGCATGTGCAGACTGTCACGAAGAGACGGTGAATTTGCTTTTGCTCCCAATAGCAGAATTACGTTATCAAGATGGTAACCTTGATCGGATGGAGGTGTTCCAAGGAGCCGAAGGGCAGGCTTTTGTTCAAGTGTGTGTATTTCTGGCGAGAGAGTTCACAGCTTTCAAAAGAGTTTCAGAAGTGTCTGTAGCACCTTAAGAGTTTTAAACCACAACCCATCAGGGCCAGCTGCAAAGTCGCCAGAGCTAATCAGGTCAACACAGTTCACTCGCATGGTCACCCAAGTGTGGAGAGAAAGTGTAGCTCCTTTAGTTTGACTGTAGCTAATGACCTGGTCATTCATACGATCTCTCTAGGGAATGCTAAGCCTCCCTGGGATACAGCGGCTATTCCATCACTTGCCTTCTGAAGGTGGCTCTCAGGTTATGGAAGAGGGAGGCACCCACGCACATACTTCTGGCCTCCTGCTGGCTCTGGGACGTGCACTGGCTAGGTTCACTGGGCTCCTGACTCCCTGACTGCCACTTTCCCTGCCAGCCTCCCCAGCGCTGTCTGAAGCTGGAATAATTCGTGAACGTTCTTTCAACTGGTCCGAGTCTAGTCACTGCCTGAAGGCTTGTCCTCATCTTGGATCCTGCTGGCCATAGACACCTGAGTGGCCAGCAAGTCCTCGCTCACTCCAGCTCACCTGTCTGCTGGTCCATGCCCAGGCTCTGCTGCAGAGTCACCTACCTGCCTCAGCAGCCCAGGAGCCCTGCTCCCAGGCATGGGGGGGGGGGGGGGGGGGGGGGGGGGGGCGCGTCCTGGGCTCCTCTCCATTTCCTCTTACAAAGTAATTAAGGTGATTCACAGACTATTAATCTCCCCTCGAATTGCACTTAAGTTTCCTGCTGCTAATATGATATAGTCAAATATGAAATAAATTCCGTTTTAAAATTTAAGTCTCCAGACAATTAAAAATTCAAAAGTTAAGTCACAGAATAGTCTGTAAGTGGTATGAAATAGTATATAATTGGTATGAAAGTAAAATCTCACACTCAGAGCCCATTGAGATGGTTATATTCCCCCCACACCTGGAAGAAACTCGCGGAACTCACTTCCTGCCTAGTGCTTCAAGAGGTCTTGACACTAGCCGCAGGTCCATAGGGGAACATGGTCCTGTGCCTTAGGTGCTGCCCAGCCCTTTTGGGGTCACCGTTTCCTCATTCGGAGAATGAGAAATCTAGACTGCATGCTAATGACCACCTAGTGTACTTTACGTACTTCCTTCCTGTGTCTGACAACAGTTACTCAAGATACATAATGCTATCTTTATTTTACAGACTCCAGCGAACTTAAGTAGCTTGCTCAAGACACATCCTATATAATAGAGGGAATATGCTAATTGACCACCACGCCCTCACAAGATGGTGGCGCCCACAGCCACAAGATGGCAATGCCCAGTCCCCTCAGCCCCACCAGGGGGATCAGGTCCTCCTGCATGCCCCACTGACTGAGACTCAGGCAAGCAGAGCCGGCCGAGGCACAGGCAAGCCTCAGATGGTGGCTGCCCAGCCACCCAGGGCCAGCCTGAGGCGCTGCCGGCAGTGGCAGCAGCAGAGGTGTGATGGGGGTGTCGCCTTCTCCTGATCCCCGGGTCACCTCCTGCCCCTGAGGGCTCCCGGACTGTGAGGGGGCAGGCCGGGCTCAGGGACCTCCCCCCCACCTCCAGTGCATGAATTTTCATGCACCGGGCCTCTAGTTACTAATAAAGAATGGCTGAAGGATTCAATCCCCATCTGCATAGTGTCAAGACCACCATTCTCCCACTATCCCATGCTTGCTTTTCCTGAAAGATTCAAGAAACTCCTTCCAGGGTTTCTGCAGATGGCCGTGCAAGTTGCACCTGCCCAAGGGGTATCTGCTCAAATCAAATCCATGTTCCCCTGGCTGTCATGGCCTGAACGCTCTGGGATGCTCCCACCCAGAGAGGAAGTCTCTTCCTTACGCTCACCAAGGTGTCTACTAGGCTCATAGTGCTTTATCCCCGTCCGTGTAAAGTCCAAATGTTCATTATAAAGATTAGTTAATGACATGGATTACAGCATGATAATGATGATGATTACTTTTCATATGTCCCTTAGAAGTATCATATCATTGATAGATTATCACTCCCCATTTTCCTTTTAGTTGTGCTTGTTAAAGTAGGAGTAGGGCTTCGTAAGAAACCTATGTTATCATGACCCACATGAAATTATTGCCGAATAAATTAGAGTTTATGCTCTCCCTTGCTCAACTGCAAGGCACCAGTGAGCCAAAAGGTCACATGCCAGGCTTTGTGCTGAATTCTCCACACGAATCCTCTCATTTCATCCTCACAAAAACCTAAGTAGTTACTCTGATCACTAGCTATTGAGTTAAAGAATTAGAAACCTAGTTTTCTCCCTTGTAAAATAACCAGCTTGAATAAGATGATCTCTGATTTTGCTTTTCACTCTAAAATGTTTCTTAATCTTATTTTAAAAATTGATTTTAGAGAGAAAAAGGGGGGAAGAGGGGGGAGAGGGAGAGAGAGAGCTTGCCTTGAGGGCTTCCATCCAATTCCAAAGGCGGGGACACTAGGGTACGTCTCAGGGGAGGATCTCAATAGAATGTTCATCATTTTCTCAGGTGTGTCCTTTCAAGGTCATGGTCTGGGGGTCATTAGTCAGTGCACCTGGCTCTGAGGTCAGCCACTAGGACAGTGATGGCGAACCTATGACACGCATGTCAGAGGTGACACATGAACTCATTTTTTTGGTTGATTTTTCTTTGTTAAATGGCATTTAAATATATAAAATAAATAACAAAAATATAAATCTTTGTTTTACTATGGTTGCAAATATCAAAAAATTTCTATATGTGACACGGCACCAGAGTTAAGTTAGGGTTTTTTAAAATGCTGACACGCCGAGCTCAAAAGGTTCGCCATCACTGCACTAGGACCTAGATGTACTCAGAGAACAGACCTTGTGAAGACCCAGGCCGTCTGCAAGCCAAGGAGGCAGGCCTCGGAAGAAACCAGCCCTGCTAACACTTGGTACTCAGACTTCCAAGCAGTGAGACATAAATTTCTGATGTTTAGAAACTAGGATTCTGAGGTTGAATGACTTTTTAAAAACTGAAGCGGTGTGATCACTTTTCACCACTAGGGGGAAGCAGTCCACTGGCTCTCATTGCATTGTGTCCTGGGCTGTGACCATTGGCTGGACAGGAGACCTTGAATGGTTCTTCCAACTCAGATTCAGTCTGATTCTAATATGCAATTCCAAATTTCAATCAAATAGGAAAAGCCCTTTTACATTTTAAATAAAATTCCTGGCTAATTATTATGGATGTCAT